ATGCTGATTGCTAAATAATCTGTAGTTGCCATGACAATTTTTAGTTCATAGGACTACCTGTTATTTATTAGATGAACAAAATAAAATAAAAAATAAAATAAACAATTACACAATGTAAACGTCCGAGCCAGACTGCAGATTTGATCTCAGAGATCTCACAGGAAATCTCATAATGCATGATTGGCACAGAACAAGGTTGTTGTTCTTGGAATAATGTACAAAGTCTAGTGTGTGATGTCCAGTTGTTTAACCATTTCCAAAAGGCAGAAAGTGGGATTCATATCAAATATGTGTAGTGGATTCCAACCTTCCTCAATCCATAGTCCAGTCACATTTCCAGAGCTTTTGACTGTACAGTTTCAAAGCAGTCAGATCAATAATTATGTTGAATATTAAGCAGCTTCATGTAAACAGGAAAATAAAGATTAAATAGAAATATAATTAAAAATATATCTTAAATAAGAAATAATTATAATTCATATTATTTAGACAAATATTTTCTACAATATTTATATGTAAATTCTTTACTTTTCTTTTTTTTCTATAAATACTTTCCTAACTCTTTAAAAAACAATAGTTGATATTCAATAAAAAACTATTATTCTTAGTTCAAGAACTAGGTTTGGTCACCCTTCTGTTAGACCAAATCTTTAACTAGGCCACTTGAAACTAATCGAATCGTGATGTAAACAGTATATATTGGAGAAATATGTAGACAGAATCCTCTAAAGATGTTTAGTGCTCAAGGAAAATTACAAGTAACCTCACCAGAACCTTCCAGCAAACCTCAACACAATCTGAATTACCATAATCACTATATATGCAATAAATATCGTAATCACAAAAATCCCATTCACTTTCTCTGGCCAACTCAAAGGTTCTCGATCACGATGGGGGGAAGCTGAGAAGAGAGCACACATTTCATATTTATAAACTCACTGTTCAATTTTAACCAGCCTCTTATTTTACTGTTCGTCTGTTACCTGTGTGTTCTCCTGTTGAGCCAGATCCTGTAGATACCACTGAAAAGATCAGTGATACAGTTTAACTACTGTTTGAAAGAGAAAAGCCCAAGCTCATGATGTATTAAAGATAATATTTCTACTCATCCACTGCTGTTCTCTCACCTGTGACTGTGACTGTGATCAAGGCTTCATTATTAGAGTCCAGAACTCTGTATGATCCAGTGTCAGTGTCTGTAAACTCATGAATGATCAGAGTCTGCTCACTGACGCTCAGTCCATCACTGCTGACCCCGTGACCTCTCCTCCACAGCTCTGTCCAGCCGGAGCCAGAGTTTCTCTCCACTTTATCAGCGTTGGTCAACAGAACATCCAACTTCAGATCCTCTGCTTTCTTCACTGAGATCTCATCTGAGGAGAAACATTAATTATAATAATGGTGTCAATCAATCAACTAATGTCATAAGCACAAGTAAGACAAAATGTTTTTTTTTTTTAAATAAGCCACTGAAAATCATATATTGTAGGCTTATCAAACTGGATATTTGATGGGATGATGAGAGGCATTTACTATTTGCTGGTTTGCATTGTTATTTATGAGGAAATCCAGAAAGCACAAGCTGATGTTTGATGAGTTTTGACTTTACCATGAATATGAAGTTTATATTGCAGGATTTCTCTCTGATCATTACTGTAATAGACTCTCAGCAAGTATTTCCCAGCGTCACTGTAGATCAGATCCTTGATGATGACGTCACATGATCCTTCTTTACAAAATCTGCTGTTTTCACTCTTACATTCTTCACTGTCACAGACAAGGATGTTTTTTGACAGTCTGCTTAAAACTAGAGCAGAAATGTCTCTGGCCTCAGATTCACATGTCAGTGTGACGTCTCCTCCTTTGCCCCCCGTCACAGGTACAGGAGTGGTACCTGCAAATATAGGCAGAATAAAATTCATTCTACCTAGAATTCCTATAACATTAAAAATAAAAATTGTTAAAAATTACAAAAAAATTATACCGACCACAATGACTGATAAAGCAAAACAGCAACAGAAGATTCAAATACCTGTTGGGAAACCAGAAGAGCTGGTTTGGCCTATGTGACACATAGACACACATCACAAACACACTCATACAGCGATAAAACACTTTCATGAGCGGTAAAATAATAGTAAACATTCATTTTCAATTAGTCTAAATATTTAACTTAGATCTTAGGCTACATGATAAAAATATCCAAAATGAAACATCAAACTTTGATCTGAATCTTCGGTGACAGTGTAATAATTATAACTACATTAAAGCCATCATAATCTTAATCACAATAATGGACCCATTGATGACCCAGCTTAAAACTTACATGGTAAAAATTCAGCACGAGTCCAGTTTGCAGGAATCAAAACTTTGTAAACATCTTAGATACGAGTCAAAGCGAAACGGAAAGCATCACACAGCTCCATCTTCCTGAAACAAAAGGTGTGCGAAAAAAAAAGTGATTTATCATTATTCATAAGGAGGAGCCTTTCCTTTACTGGTTATTTATTCAAAGCAGGTTAAGCTGTCGGGCTCCGAAGATTTAGCCTACATCATAAGTTGCCTAGCTAGTGTGACTGCTATTTTGTTAAACATGCATTTAATCAATCTTAAATGAACGGTCTGTTTCGCTGGTTCTGGGTGGTAGTGATTCGCTTTTCCCAATGTTGGGCTGTTTTCAGCATTTTTAACCTCTATACCTGATTAGCTGAAATCGAGAGTGAGATTCAGTTCAGAGATCGCCTGCAGATCATGTTCGAGTCCAGGTTTTAGAGTCGACTCTGACTCCAGAATCCCGCTGTGAGCGTCGATGGACTCACGATTTACTTTAGCCTACATCTAACCCGGGTCAGAAATAATTAGACAAAATTGCAGTCGTTAGGCCTATATAATTTTTTTTTTCCTGACACAAAGCCAAAGTCCCCCTAAATTAACACTTTTACCGTGACTGTTTTAATTAGCCCAATTTAGTCAATATGACTGTTATCTACTATTTCTAAAGTTAGCTGCATAGGATAAATGTAACCTATGTGACAGCATTTCTATGGCGTTGTCCGAATACCTCGCTTCATTTCGTCTCGTATAGCAAGAGAAATCAGCAAGAGTCGACAACGAGAGTCGATTCCTGTGCGTGAGTCCCGTGAGTCTGGTGCTATCGAGGAATCGACTCTATTGGCTAACATTCTAATTCAATATTAAAAAACATCATTAAAAACCACCATAATATTAATGTCAAAATATTATCAAAAGTGGTTAACATGTAAAAAGTTATTTTTTTAAAACATCTTAAAATCGATTATTGGTTTAACTTAAAAAATTAAGTAACCTGATTGCCTTAAAATTCAAAGTTCATTGAAATGGAAAAAGTGAGTTAATGCAATGAAGGAGAATGATTTAATCATCAGAAACTCAAAATATTATGTTCTCTGAAGTACATAAATTATTTAAGTTGATTTGACAAAAGAGAAAATGTTGTGATTACTAATCATGAAAAGTTTTTTTTTTACAGTGGGTCAGTTAAGCAACAGCAGCAAGAAAAAAAACAACTCTCTAAAGAAGATTAATACGGGAAATACTTATGTTGACACTTATTTGAAGACAATACAAGGAATGCTACAAGTGCTGAATGGGTGTAACTTTGTTATCTCGGTGCTCTTTGGGTTTAGGGATAGTTCCACTCATAAGAAAATGACAATCCAAGATCAATGATGTTGTGCTGAGGGTTTTTGTGCTGGTTTAGGCCTGCCTGTTTTACAAAAGCTTTTTATATTATTTATATTCTGTGCAAAAATGTGATATTTTCTCCCTTAAATTGATTATCAGGGGTATTTTTATATTTATATGGGCATTTTGTCTAACCTTATAAGATAAATGCATTATCTTTTATGACATGAAAATGATGAAATTAGTATTGTGGTAAATTTTTCCCTAAACCTAACTACGTCCTATAATATTTATACTCTAGCGTGTCTACACATTGACGTCGTCTGGGTGCTAATACTTGCCCCCCTTATCTAACTTGCTTCCTGCGCAGGAATAACAAACAGACTTCAGCAAATGTCCTCTAAATGCTTTATCACGACTGGGAGTTCTTGACATTTCCTCAGAGAACTTCCCCAAGAAGCATTAAGCATGGCCGGAGGATCTCAGACAAATCCCATTGAGAATCCCACCACCAGTAAACAAATACTACAGTTTTATAGAATAAGGAGATATGGTAAAATGACTGGAAACATTACTTAATTTGATTGGCTCTTCATAGACAAGCCCTTTTGTTAACCAAACTCTGTTTTTGGTTTTGAGTTTAGACAATCTAGTTTAATTTGCCATATTTGTTATTTATACAAACTTCACATATACACACAACAAGCTTTTTTTCGATTCCTCCGCCCTCCCACCCAATTCCCTCGCGTCTCAGCTCCACCCGTAGGATGCGAGGGAAGGAAGCGAGGAAAGGAAACGAGGATGCACAAATAAGAAATGAGAAGCACCCCTTGCCTTTATGATATACACTCTCAAGATGCCACATAGCCTATTATTTTATGGATGTTTTTGATGTAAAAATCTTGATCACATTATAATTGAACCTCAGAGAATATTATAACAGAATTTTGTTAAAAAGTGGCTTATGACTCCTTTAAGCATTTTATCTTGGAGCATCTTCATTCTCTTCTGCTTTTTCAGTTTTAAGTCTTACAAATGTTTTTATTCTATTAGCCTTAGTTTATTTGCTTAGTTTATTTGTTCATTTGCTCTTTTGAGTCAGCAAGTCAGACTGTTACCACCCTAACCACATATTTTGTGGTTTTCTTTGCATCACAATGCAGTCAGTCAGGAAACCATTATTATTCTTTGCACATTTATGTGAAACTTTCTTTCTTCTCTAGATTGTGATGGCAGAACTGACATGACTGAGTATATACGGTTGTGTTTGAACAGGTTTAGCTTTGTTAATGATCAGGTTTTCTGACAGAAAATGCACATAAAAACACAATTATTATTTAGCTGTTTATTCGATCAGATCTTTCAGTAATACATTTATTATTGAAGACATCTGTTGACATTTTTATTTATTCATGAATTATGTGCCATAAAATAGTTTATATTTTCTCCTGAAAACGTCTTTAAAGCTCATAGATAAATATATAATGTCTAAAGATATACAACCTAATAATATTCAATATGTTTGCTGTTATTTTTGAGCTCACTCTTTACATGTAAAAACTGCAGTTATGTAAATCATAACACTTGAACTCTAAACTATGAATATTGTTTATATGCTGAACTATTAAGCATTGCATTAAAGGCAGCGGCAGAAGAAGTGATTTGATATGTAACTGAATATATGGACAAGCACAAGATAAACCACACAAACGTGAATAATAACCACACCATTAATGACTGTTTTGCTGTTTATAAACTGGCTAGATTGACCACATCATCTCAGTTTCTCTGAAATGGAAGTGAAATCAGGCCAACAGGAAAAGACATCTGAGCCACAGTTTGCAGCAACTACAGCAGTGCTGATATAACTGGCAATGCGAAGCTCCAGGACAGGCCTATATTGAGTTAGATTGTAAAATAAAGTAGAAATAGATCATTCATCTGATCTTTGGTCCATCAGAGCTTCTTGTTTCGCTGCTTTCCATCCTTTCTGCTGTCCACGATGGTAAATGATTCCTCCTGCGACGACTGTAGCCAGAAAAAACACAAACACAGCCAGTCCAAGACCAGCGAACATCAACACACGCTCCGTCGCCGTCACCTCGTCTACAGACACAGAAGAGTTACACACATTCATACAACCAGTATTAACTCATAACTTTTCACTATGTCACTATGAAAATTAACATCCAAGAAAAAGATCAACAAGTTACCTGTGATGTCAACATCTTTTGACTCTTCTGTTCCAAAAAGACCTGTAAATTGATCAGTTTGTTAAACAAACACACAAAAAAATGTTTTTAGTTGTTGTATGGTAGAGTGTAGGTGAAGAAGAGCTTCTGTCCCAGAGTGTCGGCCCAGATCCGGCCCACAATTACCAGATCTGGGCCGACACTATGATGCTGTCTGGGGTAGTTTTTAACTTTAAGTTGTCCTTTATGGAATATAAATGGTGCATAATGACATATCAAGGCCTGTAGCATTTTTCAGATCAAGAAAAAAAAAACAATACCTCAGTGTGTCCAGACTTTTGATTAGCAGTGTATGTTTGTGATCTGAATATGTATATAGTATATACTGAAAAAGGGTAACCTAAAAATGGTAAGATTTTAAACAAAGACAAAACTGAAGTTATTGCTCCAGGCGGGGTGCGCGAGCGCAGAGCGTCCGGTGATTGCTTGGAATGGATCTCAGTCAAATTATCATAAATCTATAAATAAACCACAGATTTGAGCTTTAAAAAACTACAATCTTGCCTGAAAAACTACATGTCTTGACACAATAACAGTAGTAGCCTATTATATTTCAACTGTATATTAAAAAATGGCACTTCTAATGCCCTTGTAGCATGCGCAAGTGATGATACTTTGTCAACCAATCACCGTTCTGCAGTGAGTGAAGTACATTTTAGTACTATACCACTGTGCTAGGTACCCCAACAGAAAGGTACCCAAAATGTGGTACGTATGGTATGTTTTTTTACTGAGAACCTTTACATCCCTAATAAATATGATGAGGAAAAACTGAAATCTGGTACCTTCAATGTCCAGTCTGATGGGTTTGTCGAAGAACATCTCTGGAGCGTCAGACTTTACTCCACAGAAATAAAGTCCTGAATCTGATTCTGTTACTCTAGTAATAGTTAAAGAGACTCTGGTGATCCAATTGTCAGCTGTTATTTTCATACGTGTTCGGTTTAGATTGTAGTTGATCAGGAGTTTTGTCTCATCCTTCTCTGCTGAACTCAACAGAACGAGTTCATCAGATCTGAGAAGATACCAGGCGACTTCATATCTGTCCCTCATGCTGCAGTTCAGAGTGATGTTTTCTCCCATCCGAACCCTCACAACAGAAGATCCTCCTGCTGACAAATCTGGAGAAACGTTTATAATAAACACTCATCCTTTTAGACTGTTGATATCTATAGTATTTGAGGTTGATATGTTAATTTCATGAATGTTTGAGATAGAATATATTTACCACTGGATGTGATTTGCATAATCCAACAAGAAAATACACAGAAGAAAATGACTGTCTCCATTGTGTCTGTTGTTTGTTAAGGTGTTGGTAAAACTATAGGTTTCAGATCAATGCAGAGACACTTAAACCACAGTGTTTCCACTTCCGCCAGAAACATATACAGCATTGAATAATAGTCTCTATCAGTTTAAGTGTTGCCTTCTCACTTTATTTATTGCATCAAACACTATGTAATAAAAAACCTTATAATTTCTGTACTTTTACTGAATGTGCATGGTTTACTAGACATTGACAAACAAAACTTAGTTTTGTGTAGATTTGTGAGTCCTTGTTCATATATACTGTATTTCTGGCTTCATAAGAGTTTAGCTCTATGAACAGCTTCTGAGACATGTTTTTGGTTAATTAACCATTTTGACCATTACATGGGAAAAATCTTAACCAAAATACAAACACAAATTATGTCTCTTCCTGGTTTACATGTCATACCATAACACTGTGCAGTTTTCTGAAAAGGGAGGATGTCTTTGTTTTTGGTAATGTACAGGAAGCTGACGCTGCAATTCTGAAAAAGTTAACAAAGATGAAATTAAAGGAGTAGTTTACTTTAAAAAAAAACCTTTTGCTGATAATTTACTCACCCCCATGTCATCCAAGATGCCCATGTCATTCTTTCTTCAGTCGAAAAGAAATTAAGGTTTTTGATGAAAACATTCCAGGATTTCTCTCCATATTATGGACCTCAATGGGGTCCAAACGGTTCAAGGTCCAAAAGACAGTTTCAGTGCAAACTGTTCAAAGGGCTTTAAACGATTCCAGAATGAACGAATCTTTTTTCGTGTCATTTGGTTCATTCAACGAACGAAATTAAGGAATTGACTCGGGAAAAGATTTGTTCATTTTGATGAACGAGTTCAAAAACATAGAGTCACGAACGCGCTCTAGGTTCTCTAGTACTGCGTAATATCTTATGCTAGGGGAAAACCTCTATTCCTCAAGATTTTGAAGCCAAAAAGTTATCCTTAATTTTGAATTATTGCAAAACGCAATAATTTGCACGCGGCAGCATGCAGACATAGGCAGCCTATCAAGAGCGGCTGTAACACTTTGACCAGGATAGCTCTCACAAATTCAATAGAAGAAAGAGTTTAGGCATAAAGGCTGTATCACGCACATTTAATGGCAGGTTACCCAGGCAACGCAATCCTCTCACACATGAGAGATTACTCTTTCAGCGTCACAAAATAAAACTGGTGAAAACAAAAGTATATAAAGAGAGGTAGAGCACGCTAGCATCTACGGTGGATCTCACAAAAACTCAACTCAACAGCGTCATTACGCATAGCGAGCGTCATGTATGACGCGATCACACTCTTAAAGGGCACACTGCACAATAATAGGCTTGTTTGAGATGAGCAAATTCTGCGTAGAATCGATCACCGGTGATCAGCGCGAGATGCATGCCGGTTAGAAATGTGTCCGAGAACGGTCCGCCTGGCTCTGATGTCATGCCGACGTATGTCAAAAAACTCTCGCGAGCGCAAGGCGGAAGGGTCGGATTCTGCAGTCGCGCGCAGTTGCTCTCCACCGACTGCGCTGATCAAAAGCATGATGGGAAACGACTTGCTGACGACACAGCTTAATGCTCATTGGTTTAAACAACAGTGATGAAGGTAAATTCCATATTCATTAAGCTAAATTCTCCAAATCAAGGCCATGTTTTATTTATTTATTTTTTTCAAATTGAAACTGATCTATATTGTGAATCTCTTAAACGGGTTAAAAATAAGAAAGCTATAGTCAGTAACTCAAATATACTAGGCCTACTCTAAAATGTTCAAGTGAAAAATAGCTCTCATTTTATAGATGATGAAGTTTGTAAGTCTGTCTATTTAAGCTAAGCTTATTTTGATTGATTTATTTATTTTATTATTAATTTTATTCTGATGTTTATGTATTTGTCGCTGTATAATAGGCCTATTTATTTCACGAATTGTGGTGCTTGTAGGTAGGCTATGTTTGTAACTTGCATTCTAATAAAAAAGTAAAAAAAATAAAAATAAAAGAACACCAGATGAATTGTTCTCTTTTAAAATGTTTGATTTTAAAACTGATATCATGTTTTATGTGTATACATAGGCTATGGGTGAATAAACTCTCTGACAGTGCCATATGGGTTATATTTCATTTTTGTTAAAACAATAGGCTATAGCCTATAAAAACACGTCTGTATTAAAGAAAAAAAAAGATTGATAAACCATAGGCTATTTGGAATGTTATTAAATAACAAGTACTTTGGGTTTTATTTACATTTTATTTATTTTTATATAAAAGCAACAGAACTTAAATCACACATCCAGTTTATTAGCAACACGTGCACGAGCGTGAATCCCGTTAATCCCGCGATATCCGCCTTTGATCTCACAGGTGTCTGATTCACTGCGAGAACCCTAGATCTGTCCGGCTTGATTGCGCTTTTTTCACTCTTCCCCTCACTGCAGCCGCCTACTCTCGACTACATTGCAGGCGAGGCGAGGCGCATCTCAAACAAGCCTAATGTGATGCATGTAAATACACAGTTTCGTTCGTTACACGGCCCAATGGTGACGCTTCGCGCCCATTGCGTCACCATTGGGCCGCTCTCGATAGGCTGCTACAGTTGCCGCAGGACAGCCAATAGGCAAGCTATAAGCCGCCTTGCCTATGTCTGCATGCTGCCGCAACGCGTTTTGCAATAATTAAGGATAATTTTTTGGCTCCAATATCTCGAGGAAAAGAGGTTTTCCCCTAGCATAAGATATTACGCAGTACTCGTTCCCTCTTCTAGAGAGAACTTAGGACACGGGTTAGTAACCAAATACGTTTTATGGTTTCGCAGACTATGTGACGTCAGAGCTCGTAACAGGGAGTACAGTACATCGATCTAGTACGAGTTCACGGGTGGGAAGTCACGGGTTTGACTGCTGTTCCCGTGCACATTGACGGGTATAAGTTTGGAAAAACACGGGTTACAGGTTGCCTGGAATGCAGCATTAACACTTTTAAGTAGCAAAAATAGAGTATTCGTATGCATAGAACACAATATTATAGTAGACTAACTTACTTTTCTTGTAAATGGAGACTTTATTGCGTAAACGGTGTTATATTCATCTTCAAACAGGCAGTTTGGAGTCTGGATTAAAACAAATCTAGCTGTTATTCAAAAGTAACATAGGCTGCTCAGATTTAATGCGACTGTCATAAAATTCTAAGAAAGTAAAATCTAACACTGAAAGACATAGCCTATATCAAGTATAAGAGAAAGCTATATGTAAACTGAAAAATACACACAATAAAACTTACAGTTGTGAAAATGTTCAGTTCAGTTGACCAATAGTTCTGTTGTTTGGACCAATGTGTCAAAAAGACAACGGACATTTTGCGCCGATTTCTTCAACAAAAATGTTACCTTCTTTGTGCTGTTTGTCGATTTCAAATGTTATAGCCTACGTAATGGAAAAATTACGCTGTGCAACAGTTCAAACAGAGTAATATCCTCAAAACACTTCACGAATGCTGTTTTGATAATGTTCCTCTTTTATTATGGAAAATTATGCCAATATTGTATAGGTTAAAATAATTCTATAATATGTATACCTAGCATCTTCCCTAAAATATCATTTGTTATGAGCTTTTGTTAAGACATCATATTATGAGATTTTGTCATCTCAGCCCTAAATGTCCCCAAAACATTTGATGAATGTTGCTTTGATAATGTTCCTCCTTTGTTATTGTGCAAATGATTTATAAAAGATAACGACATCCCTAAAAACTGCTCAAAATGTTTCATGCAAAATGTTCTAAAAAAGTCAATTGAAAGGAATGTCTTATTACAAACATTTTATCATCGCAGGACTAAATAATATCCTCAAAACATTTTCCTGAATGTTGATTTCATAATGTTTATTGTGGAACATTGTACTAATGTTTTATTGAGAACAAATGTGTTATCTCAACAACATTCACAAAACATCCTCAAAATGTTACAACGTTATATCTTAGTTTACATTTAACCTTATAGGAACATTATTTGAAATGAGAAAACATCCTTAATTATTCTTTGAATATTACATTAAAATGTTTTCTTTAAACATTAACCAAACTTGTAGGGAATATTAGCCAAAGTTCTGAGATGTTCCCTGCTAGCTGGGCTGTTTCACAGATCAATATCCCTTCAAAGCAGAATTGTGTGAAAAACACAATAACTGTCCTCACAAGACATGACTGCTCACATTCGGACATATTAGATGATATGCAACGTAATGAAGACACCAGAAAAATCCACTTTTAATCTGTTTGGTTTACACAATACGAGTATAAAGCCCATTAAAAAATTACAATAATCAAAAGAACATAGTTTGAAAGCTTAAAATCCCCTAATGGTCAGTTGAAAGCAACAACAGTAAGGAAAAAAATTATGTTTAATATGGGAAAAGAAAAAATAGCTTTATATACACATAACACAGCCTTTGGACGCGCTCTTCCTCATGTTGCTGCATATTTAAACATACAAAGCAAACAAAATATTTGCTACATGACTTTCACAGTTACACACATACTGTATGACATCACAATTTTTTCAGATTTTGTTGATAACAGTAATTAGATGATATTTTGTGTTTTTTTGCTGCCATATCTGTCTGAAACACAAAGCTAATTCTGTGCATTAAAGACTAATATTTTCTCCGATAAATTGATTTCCAGGGACATTTTTAACTTTAAATGGGTATTTTTCTAACCTTAGATGGATGCATCATCTTTTATGACAAATTCTTACATTTAATCAATAATTTCAGTTAGAATAATAAAACACAATCAGATGAAATCAGTATCAAGAAAACCCATCTTTGGCACATCTGAAGAGGCATTTAGATTTATTTACAGTGTTTAATGCTGTTAAATCCTTCAAAATATTAATTCATCAACGAAACGTCACTGTTCTTTGGCCACAATGGTTCTGCTGTGGATTTATTTGGTACTACTTTCATTTGTGAAATACAGCAAAATACAGACATGCTTAAAAATAAGAATAAGATACAGGGGCATTTGTCTCATATCTTGAATTTCAGGGTCATTCTGACTGTATTCTACAACATGTCAGTGAAAGTGTGCACTATCAAGCCTGTTCCATAGTCCCTCAGGAGAGATTATTATAGTCCCTACTGGACAGTAGGCCCCAGGACTACTGTGCAATGTCTTGCATTGGAACATCCTGGTAGTTACCCTGATCAGAGTTTATGTGTTGACGTTGGTATGTTTGGAAGACAGCAAATATAATCTGACGCAGAGCCTCCCTAGCCACCAGAACCAGCAGAACCAGACCTCCACACACTGACAGCACAATAATCAAATGATCTACAGTAGAAAGGAGGAAGGAGGGAAGAGAACGCAGTTTAAAAAAAAAAAAATATATATATATATATATATATATATTATAAACTCACTGTTTAAAGATTTTATAAAGTTCTCAAACTCCCCTGTTTTACTTACAATTTATTTCAGTAGTATTAGGTTTGTGATCATCTTCCCTCTTTGATTCTGTACCAGATTCTGTAGAGAATATCAAAGGTTATCAATAGTGCTCAAAACAGGCGCGCTCAACTACCAAGACGTTTGTGGGTGCGAGTTATAAAACAGTAATCAAATTAAAGATGAAAAACTGCACTCTCTATCGTTGCATCTCATATATGTTTATTATACCATGTCCACACAGAAGCGTTTCAGCCTAAGCCATCATGGCTTAGGCTGAAACGCTTCTGTGTGGACATGGTATAATAAATATATATATACTGTATATATGAGATGCAACTATAGAGAGTACAGTTTTTCATCTTTAATATCAAAGGTTACTCACACAGTTTAAGATTTGCTGTTCAAATTGTGATAAATAAACCTAAAATAAGCTCAAATATTTGTGCTGGTCCACTGCTGTTCTCTCACCTGTGACTGTGACTATGATCAAGGCTTCATTATTAGAGTCCAGAACTCTGTATGATCCAGTGTCGTTAGCTGTTAAATTTTCAAGGATTCTATCATTGTCATTATTAACATCACTGTCTCTCCTCCACACCTCCGTCCACAGTGAGCTGTCTTTACTCTGATGCTCCACTTTATTGGCGTTGGGCAACAGCTCACCCAATAGCTTTCCATCTTTCTTCACATAATCTGAGGAGAAACAAAGACATTATTATTATTATAGTTAAGGCCTTAAGCATGTAATAATTATAACCAATATTGAAGCTGAATAATCTGAATACTAGTGACATATTCAGAGTCTCTCATTACAGGAATTCATGGGATACCAACACAATTACTGAAGGAAACCTGATGGTTTGATAAGTTTTGATTTTACCATGAATTTGAAGATGGTACGTCTTCTTTTTTGGCTCCAGCTCTATCGCAGTTTTATTGTAAAAAACTTTTAAACTGTATTTCCCAGCGTCACTCGGTCTCAGATCCTTGATGACGACATCACAGTCTCCATTTTTTAAAAATCTGTCACCCTTACATGTTTTATTCTGACAAATAGGGATTTTTTTTTGAAATCTGTTTAAAACTAATTTAAAAATATCTCTGGCCTCAAAGTCACATGTCAGGGTGGCGTTTTTTCCTTTTTCTCCAGTCACAGATTCAGGGGTGGTTCCTACTACATCTGCGGTTTCTGCAAATAGACATAAAAATAATCATTTAATACAAACTTTCAGTCTTTTTTTTTTTTTTTTTTTTTACCACAGATACAGTGAGTGGCTCTGACAATTAAGTTTCTCAAATATTTAGCAAGAAATGCCAGTAAATATTAAGGTTAATACTTCATTGATACAGCTATAGCTCCTCTGCTTTGATTGGTTTGGTCTGTGAATTTAAAGTCGGCGTAAAACAGAAGTTGAGATTGTCGTTTTTTCCTCGCCGTATATCAGAGTGAAAAGGCTTCTGAAATTAGAAAAAAAATGTAGGGCAGGGCTTGATTTCGTCCTTCGGGAATTGATTGGATCGTTGGAGGTTGGGCGTTGCAAACAAAATGGAGGCAGATTTGATTCTCTGAGAGGGGGTTCACAGATAGTCCAACATTGTCCAACATAGTCCAACATGACATCATTACTTTTGCGTAAACATACACGCCACTTTCGAGTCTGGCCGCACCCTTTCGCCATTCCACGTGACCGAAATAAAAGAGAGTCGTTTCGATGGGGGAGGGAAGGGTAATGTATTTGATTAAAGATTATAAGGGTACATGAATTTAAAAAAAAAATTATGAATGCACAGATAAATCATTCAGAATAAACACTACAATATTACACATAAAAAGAAGATTTGTCAAATTTGATTTTATGCTAACTCAGGGCTGCCAACTCACGCAATTGAGCCAATGGGCTATATGCACGCATAAATTCCGCATTTGAAGCAAGGATGCTCGTCCATTTCCGGTTGTGTAGATTAAAGCGGAGGGAAACCGAGGAAAACGGGATTATGGCAGAGTCTTCAAAATTTACTGTCCTCCAGTCTTTGAAATGAAACGTACATACGTTTATATGTAATTTTATATATAGTTATATTTATTTAATATAATTTTAAAAAGAACCATAAACACAACGAGGGGTGTCTGTTTTATCTGTTTTTGTGACTAACGTTTCATTAGTATAACCATGGAGTATAAAATTCAATATAAATTCTCAGTATTGCATTGGACTCTACGATCGGCGGAAGTTATCGAGCATCCCTACCCAGACAGCAATCTGACATTGAATCAACGTGGAAACAACGTCTCTCATGACATTGAAACAACGTTGATTTTGCTCATCGAATTAACGTTGAACCAACGTCAGACGCGGCATTCTTCAAAGCTAAATGAAAATCGAAAATTGGTTTGCTTTCATAACGTTGAAACAACGCGTTAATTTCAAGTTGATTTTCCGTAAGTTTTGAAAGAATGACGCGTCTGACGTTGGTTCAACGTTAATTCAATGAGCAAAACAATGTCAGATCAACGTTGTTTCTGTCATGTTTCCACGTTGATTCAATGTCAGTTTGCTATCTGGGTAATGCTTCACCGGAAATACTGCTGTGCATAGAGCCCATTCTCACGCTCTCACGCTCTCATGCCACACCCCCAATTTCTCACGCTAAAGTGTTAAGCCAGTCGGCAAAATACCTGAAAGATAAGTTTATCTATAAATCCACCAGTTGAGCCACTCGTGATTGACTAGTTTTACTGCAATGCTGCGTTCAAGTCTTCCTGGGGAGTTCGTACGTACGAGGTGGGAAGTCTACGACGTGAGGTGCGTTCAAGTCAGTTTTGTCGGAGCAAAATGGCGGTGTACCTACTTTTAATGAATTACACGAAAATACAGCAAGGTTTGTTAACTCTGCTAATAAAAAAATGAAGAACAAAGAATGCGCATCAGGTGTGTTTTTCTTTTTATGTTTTTTTATTAGCTTATGAAGCCAATGTAAACTCATATCATTAGGAATAATTTTTATTTTACAATGATATATTTTGTGCAGAGAGCTTGCTTTATAAATGAAAAGCCTTACAATATCAATTAGTAAGCATTGAAATTCAATTAAAATTTACAACAGACGTTGAATGAACTTTCTCATTGACACGCCCCCAACTCCTACAGATCGGGGCTTAAAGAAAATCCCGAGCTCCTCACTGGTATTTACGACATTGTGGTGGCGTTCAAGTGCGTTCAACTCGTAATTACGATCTATACGAGATGACTTGAACGCATGTGCTGAAGTGATGACGTCACTTTGTAGGACAACTCGGAAACTAGCGGTGCATGGGTTCCCTCGGTCGAAAAGCAATGCATTTTCCCCATAGATTAAACACTTCATTCACAGATGTAAATTTGTAAAGATCAAACCCCATTTCAATGGTTGGAAGAATGACTTGAAGTTATTTGTAAAATCTCTTCTTTGGATGACGGACTCAAAAGCCCTGAAACTTCTCTCCATTTTGGAAATGTTTAGGTTATTGGAATAAGACCCTCACCCTTTATTATTATTATTTTTTCTTCTCTCTCTTCTACAGGTATGTATTTTTTTTCTTCTCTAAGTGATATATCAGCACGAATGTAACTGTATGATTGTTGATTTATGCCTTAATTGTTTGTACTTGAATTCTATTTGGCAATAAAAAAAATAAATAATAAGTCCCTTTGGTGGGACTCATCTCTTCAGGGGGACCAGCACTGGCTGGTTACTTCCAGGTTCTGGACTGGCTGCAGTAATGCGTCTCTGTCCATGCGGGGGCGCTCGCGGTCGAGTGCAGAATGAATGGGAGTCAATGGGGTTTCACCCCAAAAAATCCACGTTTCTCAGGATGTAATTTTTTGTCAAGTAATTTGAAAGTTGCAAAAGGGAGGGCTAAGAAAATACACTCAGCTGAAAATTGCATTTTTGAGTTCACTTATCTGTTATAAAAATCCGTTCAAAACTGTGATGACGTCACACAATAGCAGAATGCTAGCGTGTTCTGGCCAACAACGGCCTAACCTGTAAGAAATCAAAAGGACATAAGTACTCGTTCATTCGACTTTAGCCTATAATCTATATTGAACTTGCGGAATCAACAATAAAATCTATGTTAATTTAACGACAAGCAGGTGAAAGAGACACATTTAGCCGTTTAGCCCCATAGACTCCCATTCATTCTGCTCTCGCCCGCGATCACCCCCAGTGGAATTCTAATGGAACTGCAACCAAGATGATACACAACGGGGCTAATAGGAAGTGCCAAGGCTCTCCGTTAGACGGGCTCTGGGGGGACTCATCTCTTCACCACACCGGAATGCTAAAATGCTAACTCACTTCCGCATTTTGGCCTAGAGTGACGTCGAGAGCGATCATGCATACATACGAGACAGATGTTGAGCTCCTAACGGCGCGGACGCAAAACCAGGACTGGAGTCAAACCCAATTCCTCTCTGCTCTTATCACTCCGATTATGTCCACTATACGGGTTTTCCAATCTCACTCACAGGAAAAACTGCTCCGTGTTCGCGTGAGCAAAGTGCACACGTTTCTCTAAAAACACCCAGCACAAACAGAATGCCTATTCTTAAAGTCTTGTGCTGTTTTATGAAGGCAAAAAGCAATGTCATTGGCAATATAAATCTAGAGACCTTCATGTTAGTTTATACATTTTACATCTCATATGTTCGGCAAAAGGCTGATTCAAACTCGGGTCCGAGCGCATCAATAGATCTTTCATGAACTACACGCTCTACGATCTACGCCACTGCAGCTATTCAATGACGGGCGTGTTTCTGTTATAAAGACAGGTACTAAAGGCGGCTATAGTGCAAATATAGGCTATGCTCTATAACCCCCCCCCCCCCACCCCATTGTAATAAAAAACAAGATAAATCAAAACAGAGATAAAAGCCAAAATGGCAAAACGCGACAATAGACCAACGCTACTTTTGCGTCATCGAAGGGTAACGCCCCCTTTTGGGGGAAAACACCTCTATACTGTCTATGGGAAAACATACGGATTCCCATGAGAACAGAACTCGCACTAGATCTGCAAAGTTTCTTGATAGCAAAAATGGCACAAACTTAAAGAAGCTAACGTTACTGAATACGGGGTTACAGAGGTTTCCCTTTGAAATGGTCGAAAACTGGATTAATGACCCCACACAGCGGCCAAATATGGACTATTCAGACATCTAACGTTACCACTATCTCGTGGAATCACCAAGTAAGTAGCCTTTTTTATTTATTTATTTATCATTTACACACTCACAGTAGCCTATGACAAACTACTAGACGATGAGGCCATGTCACTTAGGTCATATTTAACTTGATTTACGCTATTGACAGTTTTGTTGTCGACTAGCTATTACAAAGACTAGCTGTTAGCAGCTAACATTACCTTATTAGACTATGTCAATAGCTTAAATCAAGTTAAATATGATCCATTCATCGTCTAGTTTTTCATACGGTGAGTGTTAATGAAAAAAAAGGCTACGTGCTTACTTGGCGATTCCACGAGATAGTGGTATCGTTAGATGTCTGTTATAGTCCATATTTGGCCGCTGTGTGGGGTCATTAATCCAGTTTTCGACCATTTCAAAGGGACACCTCTGTAACCCCGTATTCAGTAACGTTAGCTTCTTTAAGTTTGTGCCATTTTTGCTATCAAGAAACTTTCCAGATCTAGTGCGAGTTCTGTTCTCATGGAAATCCGTATGTTTTCCCATAGACAGTATAGAGGTGTTTTCCCCCAAAAGGGGGCGTTACCCTTCGATGACGCAAAAGTGGCGTTGGTCTTATCTGAATAGTCCATATTTGGCCGCTGTGTGGGGTCATTAATCCAGTTTTCGACCATTTCAAAGGGAAACCTCTGTAACCCCGTATTCAGTAACGTTAGCTTCTTTAAGTTTGTGCCATTTTTGCTATCAAGAAACTTTGCAGATCTAGTGTGAGTTCTGTTCTCATGGGAATCCGTTTGTTTTCCCATAGACAGTATAGAGGTGTTTTCCCCCAAAAGGGGGCGTTACCCTTCGATGACGCAAAAGTAGCGTTGGTCTATATTTAGGCTTGTTCGACTTCATGCAGCTCTGCGCAGACCGATCGTCGGCTGACTTGAAACAGTGCATGCCGGTTAGAAATTTTGTCCGACTTGATGCAGCGCTGACTCCACGTGACTGTGACGTATGCCATCAAAGTACCGCGAGAGCGATACGAGAGTAGCCGGAGGACTCAGCCAGCGCAGCTTCTCAAGAGCGGCTGCACGAGCTCTGATGATGTCACAGCTGTTCCACGATTCGCCGGATTCACCGCATGACTACGATCACGTGCGTTTCGTGTTTATTCTCATACATTTAGTTCCACTAAAGCTCACAAATCAGTGTTTTATAACAGTAAACACTCTTTTCATGTAGTCGCAATGTTATATTGTGTCATGCTTATCATTTTTATCTAAATAAAACTGATTAAAAAGCGTTGATTTCACGTCATTGATTATAGGCTTATTTTGAACTGTATTCTAGTTCAAACAGATGCTCTATGAAGCAGTAAAGTATTGAATGAAAATGTGTCTAAAATATCTGTTTATTTGGCAAATGTTGCATTTATTTCACTTCAGCTGTGGTATAAGCATGCAAACACCACGTGAGCCGTCATACGGGGACCAGAAATTGTCCGACTTCACGTCTCCGTTTGCAGCTCCTCCCCGCCTGCACGCGGCTGTTCTCGCGAGTAGTATGAAGCTGCAGACTCGGAGACCTGCATTTACAGTCCCCCTGCACCCAGAGTCCCGCATTCTCAGACCCCTCGTTTTTCGAGACAGCGCCTCCTATCAAATTGTATCGGATAAACATGTGAAGAACTTAAGCCAAAACATGAGTAGTAGATAAATAAAATCTTCAATTTTATTTAGCGATTCGTAGTAGACTACTCGTTTGATTTATTTTGTTAATAAAACTAATTTAGCTCATCGATACAACATATGAATAGTCCATTTAATATTTGTAAAGATAGTTTGAAACTATTGAAACTATTTGAGATTTGAGCCGTTAATGTATGTTTTTTCGCCCTCTTCTCCCCGAAAATATTTAGATAGCGTATGTTTACGTTAGCCTTTAACCTTGGACTTTTTGTAGAAATGTCTTAAATGCTGCAGTTATTTTCACTGCCCATTTTGTGCCCCCATATATTTCAAACCCACAAAGTTGTCCAAAGTTCAAAAACATCTCAAGGGACACTTCAACAGAGCAGTGCAACATGGTAACTAACATTTGCAAACATTTTTTCTTTTTTTTCTTTCTTTCTTTCTTTTTGAAACATCATAAGACATGTGCTATCGGTCCTATGGAGTTGCCCCTGCCGAATCCAGCAACATATCATTTTATGATTATGCAAAGGGACTTATTAATGAGTTTTTTTAATGCAATTGAAGACGAAAAGTAAAGTCAAAACACTGTTTTTTCTTCCTTTTTTCTTTACAGCAAGATGATGTTTAGGTGATCATTAAATAAAGTACAGGATTGTTTATTATTGGTGTTTTGTCTATTCTGATTTGTTTTGCTTCGCATTCAAAATATCAAAAAACAGATATTGTAGCCTAATGTTAGCATGGTAATGTTAAATTAGACCATTATAGGTTTAACTGAAAGAAAAATTGGAATTTGAATAAAAAAATATAATAAAAAAACATTGTAGCAATATAATATAGCCTACTATTTTTCTGAAGATAGTTCAATCTGCTAATTGTATCCCTTCCATCAGTAACAATTAGGTTGTTGTTGTTGTTTTTTTGACACATGCATTAAGCAGGGAACACAAATATTTATTGGATAATTTATTTGAAGACCGTAATATTGCATCCTATTGTTTTTAATTGCATTTGGATAATGCGCTGTACTCTGTGTGCGGGTGTTATTCGATCTTTTGAACAGCAGGAGGCGCTGTGTTCGAAAAACGAGGGGTCTGAGAATGCGGGACTCTCCTTGGGGGACTGTAGATGCAGGCTCCGAGTCTGCAGCTTCATAATATTGGTTCTCGCCGATCGGTTGCATCCAGCCGCAGGCGATGTCGAACACACCTTTTGTCTGCTGCCCCAACAGGCACAGTGACCGCTTCAGAGCTTTTAGGACAGTATTGGTTCTTATTTGGTTTTCACTTCAGAGCTGACAAGCTGGCTTCATTCATGAACGGTGGAGTGGAGATCAAAACATTTATCACAAAGACGACATTTGACTGCTAAAATACTGGCAGTTTTAGTGAATTCCTGTTTATTATTAGATGAACTGAATAAGATAGACTAAAAGATAAGTCAGAAATGTGATGTTGCTTGATGATGTTTTAAACTGTATTATGCCACAATCAATCCACAAACATCAACTAAAATCATTTGGTGCAAAAGATAAATAATTGACTAGAACAACTAGCAGTGAAAATCAAAAAATTGTACTCACCGCTGTATAAAACAAAGCAAAACAGCAGCAGAAAATACCTAAACCTGATGAGAAATCAGAAGAGCTATAGTTTGTAGGCTATAAAAAAACAAGGAAACCAGAAACCAGAAGAACTGGTTTATGTGGAAGACACAAATACACATCAAAGACATTTATACCGAGATAAAACGCATGAGCTGTAAAGTAAAATATATTAATAAACACTCACATAATGTCTGAATATTTAACACATGTGCATGTGCTTAAATAAAAAAAACATCAAAGTAACCTGAATCTGTGGTTTTATAAATGATTCTACTGAAAATGATCAGTCAAACTCAATACACAAACAGGCTTTACAAATTCTGTAACAATCTAATAATTCTATTAATTACTCAACTAATAAAACCAACCATCACAATCACAGTAATTTTCATCGTTATTAAGGATCTATTTCCTCTTCACTGGCAGCTTTAGTTTTACCCAAACAGAAACACAACTATGCACAAATAACTACACAAATGTACTGGATTTTTCTGTTTAGAAACATGAAAACTTACATGATGAAAATTCTTCATGAGTCTTATATTCAGGTGTCAAAGAGCCACGTTTAAAAAGATGATTTAGCGATGAGTAAAAACAAAAGTAAAAGTATCCAAAGAAAGAGAAGCTGAAGTTTCCATTTGAATAGGAATATCGGCTCCTCCTATAAGCTGGAGTCGGACAGCTCATTATTGTCCTCTACTGGATATCATTTCAGTGCAGATTGAGCTGATTTGGATTCCACATGATTTTGGGACTTATTTATTGAATCATCGACATATTTGCCTTTAACATGCTTTTAATGTGCAGGAAATCTTGTTCCTGTGACAGCTTAGCAATTGGATCATGTGATTTGATCAATTTTATATGACTGTCTGATTTTACAACTCACTCGTTTGTTTTTTAAAAAAAGTTTAAAATTTATTTTAAATTGTTAATTGTTAAAAATAAAATTTAAATTGTTTTTTGATTAAAACAATCACTGATGTCATAAATCAGGATGGATAATCACATGACTATAACTACATTTGCATATTTAATAATCAGAAACCTCACATCCAGTGATGTCATGAGGAATAATATCCCTGATGATTTCAGTCTGATCTCAGTTTGACTTTGAGCAGAAGATTTCAGGTCTGATTGTGTCTGATCTCATGAAAAGGCTTATGTATGACATGCCAATTCGTTTTTCCATTTTTGGCGAGCTATCAACACGCATAATCGCTTTTCAGCGTGTTTATGAACGCTGTTGTTGACTTAACGTTACATTACTGTATATATAAATATATGACTTACCCCAGCCCCGTCCCTAAACGCACCCGACACTGGGGTTAATAGCATTTATGAGTCTTCCCCTACCATAGGAAAAGAAATATCACTCCCCAGAAGAAGATCTACATTTTGCTTCTTTTCGCTCGGACATTTAATGGCGTAGACATACACGCACACAAGGGGATAGCTCAAAATGCGTATAGATAACACGCCACTTGACTTGAAAGTTGCAGAATGCAGTTTGAGTTGAGATGCAGTTTCACAAAGAAGTGGTTTACTTTGTAAATGCAGCAAGACATAAACTATTTACACTCACCTAAAGGATTATTAGGAACACCTGTTCAATTTCTCATTAATACAATTATCTAATCAGCCAATCACATGGCAGTTGCTTCAGTGCATTTAGGGATGTGGTCCTGGTCAAGACAATCTCCTGAACTCCAAACTGAATGTCAGAATGGGAAAGAAAGGTGATTTAAGCAGTTTTGAGCGTGGCATGGTTGTTGGTGTCTGAGTATTTCACAATCTGCTCAGTTACTGGGATTTTCACACACAACCATTTCTAGGGTTTACAAAGAATGGTGTGAAAAGGGAAAAACATCAAGTATGCGGCAGTCCTGTGGGCGAAAATGCCTTGTTGATGCGAGAGGTCAGAGGAGAATGGGCCGACTGATTCAAGCTGATAGAAGAGCGACTTTGACTGAAATAACCACTCGTTACAACCGAGGTATGCAGCAAAGCATTTGTGAAGAAGACACAACACACACAACCTTGAACAGCAGAAGACCCCACCGGGTACCACTCATCTCCACTACACATAGGAAAAAGAGGCGACAATCTGCAAGAGCTCACCAAAACTGGACAGTTGAAGACTGGAGAAATGTTGCCTGGTCTGATGAGTCTCGATTTCAGATGAGACATTCAGATGATTTGGCGTAAACAGAATGAGAACATGGATCATCATGCCTTCTTGTTCCCACTGTGCAGGCTGCTGGTGGTGGTGTAATGGTGTGGGTGATGTTTACTTGAATCAATGTTGAATATAATTATGTTGAATATTAAGCAGCTTCACATAAACAGGAAAATAAAGATTTAATAGAAATATAATTAAAAATATATCTTAAATAAGAAATAACTGTTATATATACATTAAATAATTCATATAATTTAGACAAATATTTTCTACAATCTTTATATGTAAATTCTTCCCTTCTCTTTTTTTTTTTACTTTTTTTTTCTATAAATACTTTCCTAACTCTTTAAAAAACAATAGTTGATATTCAATAAAAACTATTATTCTTAGTTCAAGAACTAGGTTTGGTCACCCTTCTGTTAGACCAAATCTTTAGGCCACTTGAAACTAATCGAATCGTGGTGTAAACAGTATATATTGGAGAAATATGTAGACAGAATCCTCTGAATATGTTTAGTGCTCAAGGAAAATTACAAGTAATCTCACCAGAACCTTCCAGCAAACCTCAACACAATCTGAATTACCATAATCACTATATATGCAATAAATATCGTAATCACAAAAATCCCATTCACTTTCTCTGGCCAACTCAAAGGTTCTCGATCACGATGGGGGTAAGCTGAGAAGAGAGCACACATTTCATATTTATAAACTCACTGTTCAATTTTAACCAGCCTCTTATTTTACTGTTCGTCTGTTACCTGTGTGTTCTCCTGTTGAGCCAGATCCTGTAGATACCACTAAAAAGATCAGTGATACAGTTTAACTACTGTTTGAAAGAGAAAAGCCCAAGCTCATGATGTATTAAAGATAATATTTTGTGCTGGTCTGTTCTCTCACCTGTGACTGTGATCCAGGTTTCATTATTAGAGTCCAGAACTCTGTATGATCCAGTGTCAGTGTCTGTAAACTCATGAATGATCAGAGTCTGCTCACTGACGCTCAGTCCATCACTGCTGACCCCGTGACCTCTCCTCCACAGCTCTGTCCAGCCGGAGCCAGAGTTTCTCTCCACTTTATCAGCGTTGGTCAACAGAACATCCAACTTCAGATCCTCTCCTTTCTTCACTGAGATCTCATCTGAGGACACACACACACACATTCATCATCATTATAATGGTGTCAATCAATGAACCAATGCCATAAGCACAGTTTAGTACCAAGGAGACAAAATGTAATTATTTTAAAAATAAGCCACTGAAAAGCATATTGATATAAGGATATTTGATGGGATGAGTGACATTTACTATATTTGCTGGTTTGCAATGTTATTTATAAGGGAAATCCAGAAGGAAGCACAAGCTGATGTTTTGAATTTACCATGAATATGAAGTTTATATTGCAGGATTTCTCTCTGATCATTACTGTAATAGACTCTCAGCAAGTATTTCCCAGCGTCACTGTAGATCAGATCCTTGATGATGACGTCACATGATCCTTCTTTAAAAAATCTGCTGTTATCACTCTTACATTCTTCACTGTCACAGACAAGGATGTTTTTTGACAGTCTGCTTAAAGCTAGAGCAGAAATGTCTCTGGCCTCAGATTCACATGTCAGTGTGACGTCTCCTCCTTTGCCCCCCGTCACAGGTACAGGAGTGGTACCTGCAAATATAGGCAGAATAAAATTCATTCTACCTAGAATCCCTATAACATTAAAAATAAAAATTGTTAAAAATTACAAAAAAATTATACCGACCACAATGACTGATAAAGCAAAACAGCAACAGAAGATTCAAATACCTGTTGGGAAACCAGAAGAGCTGGTTTGGCCTATGTGATTCACCCAGTGATTCACTTTTCCCAATGTTGGGCTGTTTTCAGCATTTTTAACCTCTATACCTGATTAGCTGAAATCGAGAGTGAGATCCAGTTCAGAGATCGCCTGCAGATCATGTTCGAGTCCAGGTTTTAGAGTCGACTCTGACTCCAGAATCCCGCTGTGATCGTCGATGGACTCACGATTTACTTTTAGCCTACATTAAGTCGAGCATATTTACACCAACAGAAGGAAATCTGCTGGAAGAGGAACAACAATCAAAAACAGCCATTGATTCAACACGAAGTGACAGGGCACTTAATAGGGACAGACATTGTTCTCCATAGTGGTTCAGCATTTCTGTTATGCGTCGACTAATTTTCAAAATACATTGGGGTAAAACTACTCAGGGACATCCAGAGTCACGTGTGTGTGTGTGTGTTGCTACTGGAGGATAATAAAGTTATGTAATGACACAGGGTCTGATGTTCGTCTGTAGGTCTAAAGAACATGTAACCCCTCACACCCGGGTTCAACTCCACCCGCTCCGAGCGGGCCTCGAACCCGGGTCTCCGGCATGAGAGTCAGGCGCTCTAACAAAGAGGTTAAAGACTGCAGCCTCTAGCGTCTGTCGCTAGAGCATCTATTGAGATCGGGGAGTGAGGTTTACTCGCACAGCAACTACTAGCTGGCCTCCGTTACAAACAGAACACACAAAAATAGATCAAAATGACATTACATTAACCAACCATTCAGAAACGTCCTGTTCGGTCCTTAAATGATCCTCATATGCATGTGGAGAGACATTGATACGCATCCTTCTAAACTATATTGATCATAGCTATACTATTTGCAGAGATCACCCACACTCACAAAAGAAAGGTCTCAGGGTGACTGGTACCAATGTCTCATTCCCAAAGAATTAAAACAAAGTTCTTAGGAATATAGAAATATCTTGCACACATAAGAGTGTGTCCTTGAGTTAACACCTTCTGACCATCTGTCTGAATGCTAATTACCACTAGAAAATAGACCACAGTAACTTTCCACTGTAAACTCATGTTTTACATATCAAATGAGGTCTGGATATGTAAAGAAAAGCAACGAGAGCTCAGGGCCTTTTCTGTATCAGAGACTCCCAGCTTCACGTAGCCTATAATGTCGGGTAAAGTTATTTGTTCTAGAACATTTGATGGTTTGCATTGATTATCTTTCAATTGATTATGGAATTGTAATAATACATTTACCTGACATAATAAATTGTCACATTTGATTATTCTAACAGACTTTGACTTTTGTTACGTTCCACCCAGTCTAGGATAGGGGAAAGAACATTAAAGAACTACAATACAATGGTTGGCTCAAAACGTTACATACCAACACAGCAGAAATGTGGTACACAAGATTTATTTGGTGTAACACAAGTATAGGAAATTAAGACTTCGGGAGTGAGAAAAAGCCAAAGAAAATACACAAACAAAATCTCTAACTATAGGGACCCAATCTACACTTACCTTAATGAAAGAAAAAGGAAAGAAACAACAGAATAGTTCCCTGACTCCTTCTCTACCTTAAACAGGAGAAAAGCATTGCAAATTTTTTTTTTAAAAAGGCACCCACTCCCTAGACTTCCAAGTTTGTCTATTTACAATATATACCAGAAAAAAAGAAAACATCAAGAAAAAGAATATAACAGTTGGGTTCAAGTATATATATCAACTTCACACTATTCAGAGGCTTTTAACAAAAACAAGCAATAAAGTTTTGAAATTTTGGTAAGTTTTGAAATTAGTCAAAACCAATCAGTAGCAGAAATGTACAGACACAACAAACCCAAGAGGTCATCTACAGTAACTGACGCTTTTGACCATACGTCAACATCAGACGTTTTAGGGTACTCTTTAGCGTCAGTTAGATGATGCTATCTAACCCTAACCCAGACATAAACCTACCCTCATCATCTAACTGATGCTAAAGGTAAAGCATCAGTTAGATGATGCCCTAGGACGTTTAAGGGTGCCCTAAAACATTGGATGTTGACGTATGGCTCAAAGCCTCAGTTAGATGACGTCTTGGGATGAGAATGTGTTGAACAAACAGGTCAAGTTCAACTGGCAGGAAAACAAGGCTTCCTTCAGTGGAGATCAGTCAGGCTTTATATTCTTATTTTCCTTCTGAAGACCAAACACAACGAGCACAATTAGCAGAGATGATCACCCTCACTCACCTAGCTTTACCTGCACAGAAGACAGAGAAACAACCACTACTGCCACCTAGTGGCCTGACACATAGTATACAAAAAGTAAAAAATAAAATTACACTGTAGGACGTAACAACTTCATTTTCATTAGAGTTAAAAGGAATAGTCAAATATTAATGTGTATTTAATGATGCACAGATATCGTTGAAAAACCTTTTCATTTTATGGAGTCCGATGAAATAACGAGTTAATATATAAGATTAAATGCATTGCATTTAGACAGAACATGCGCGAGACCTTCACCTCTAATCGTGCACCGCCATTGGATCGATTTAGACGGCCTTACAATACATACTGCCAATTAAATAATATGTTGACGGATTACTCTGCATGACATGGTTTTGTTTTAAAGGAGAAAAAATTACTGGAGTCTACATGACCAAGTCCAATACAATATAAAACTGTCTAGAGACTGAACTGGAGAACTAGCACTAGTTCATCATGATCCAAAGAGCCTCAATACTTCAGATCAGTGTTTTCATCCTTCGGTGATCTCTGTGCTGACGTCTGTATATCACAATAGTAATCAGAACCAGCAGAACCACAGTCAGTCCAACCGGCAACATCCAGTGATCTACAGGTGAACAAAAAAGAGGAAAAGTAAAATTTCTACATTTTTAATTCACTGTTTAAGATCTTCTGTAATTCTCTCATGTTTTACTCACGTCGATGTTCAGAGTCGTCAGTTTTGTCTTCTTCAGTGTCGCTCAGTTTTCCCTTCCAGTCTAGAACAGATTCTGTCCAGAATATTGAAGGTTATTGATGCAGTTTAGTATTAATTTGCTGATTAAAGATAATATTTGTGCTGGTCCACTGCTGTTCTCTCACCTGTGACTGTGACTGTGATCAAGGCTTCATTATTAGAGTCCAGAACTCTGTATGATCCAGAGTCAGTGTCTGTAAACTCATGAATGATCAGAGTCTGCTCACTGACGCTCAGTCCATCACTGCTGACCCCGTGACCTCTCCTCCACAGCTCTGTCCAGCCGGAGCCAGAGTTTCTCTCCACTTTATCAGCGTTGGTCAACAGAACATCCAACTTCAGATCCTCTCCTTTCTTCACTGAGATCTCATCTGAAGACACACACACATTCATCATCAATCATAACTCTAATAGCATCATTTAATCAAGACCATAGTCACATATTTAATATTGTGGAAACAGATGAAAACATTGGAAAAACCCAATCCACTCTGAATATTAAATGTGTGCGCCAATTTCTGGTCATATGTTAACTATTAGTGCTGTAAAACGATTAAAATATTAAATCACGATTAATCGCATTAATGTCATAGTTAACTCGTGATTAATCGCAATTAACCACACATTTTTATCTATTCTAAATGTCTCTTGATTTCTTTTTTCCACATTTTTTAAAGGTTTTGTCTCCCTGAGCTTCCTCTGCACCTCGTCAACTCGCTGATTGGCCTCACGCCACTGTCCACAGGCTGTGTGCTCGTTTTTCCCGTGGGACACCACACACACACGAGGAGAAATTGGGCCAAAAAAAATCGGGCCAACATGTTGGATATCCCCGATTAGAGATCAGAGCGGTCCCGACGCCCTTCTGAGCAGACGAGAGCAGTCTTAACACACTTAAAGGGTTAGTTCACGCGAGATTGAGGAGATCCTCGAAGTATTCCTTCCACCGTCCGACGACATCCCCAGTTAAGGTCAACAGCCACCCACCCCTACTGTAAACAGCATTGGTAGGCGACTGTTTCCCCCTCCTGAGGGGCCGGAAAGTTTGCCAGAATCTCTTCGAGGCCAGCCGATAGTCTTTCTCCAAGGCCTCACCGAACTCCTCCCAGGCCCGAGTTTTTTCTCCACAACCACCCGGGCCGCAGTCCGCTTGGCCTGCCGGTACCTGTCAGCTGCCTCCAGGGTCCCACGAGCCAACCAGGCCCGATAGGACTCCTTCTACAGCTTGACGGCATCCTTTACTTCCGGTGTCCACCACCGGGTTCGGGGATTGCCGCCTCGACAGGCACCGGAGACCTTACGGCCACAGCTCCGAGCAGCCGCTTCGACAATGGAGGTGGAGAACATGGTCCACTCAGACTCAATATCTCCAGCCTCCCTCAGGATCTGGTCGTGGTTCTGCCGGAGGTGAGAGTTAAAGATCTCTCTGATAGGAGACTCTGCCAAACGTTCCCAGCAAACCCTTACAGTACGCTTGGGTCTGCCGAGTCGGATCCAACTCACCACCAGGTGGTGATCAGTTGACAGCTCTGCCCCTCTCTTCACCCGAGAGTCCAAGACATACGGCCGCAGGTCAGACGAAACGACCACAAAGTCGATCATCGACCTACGACCTAGGGTGTCCTGAAAAAAAAAACAACAACAAACAACAAAATAATATTAATGGCACAGGTATAATTACATACCCCGAGCCCCAGGGTATGCGTGCGCCTGGTGGCCGGGCCTCTCCCCATGGGGTCTGGCCGGGAGCGACGTGGGGCCGCCTTCCCGTGGGCTCACCACCTGAAGGAGGAACCGTAAGGGGCCGGTGCTGAGAAGATCGGGCAGCAGTCGAAGGCAGGCGCCTCGACGACCCGATTCCTGGACACGGAAACTAGCCTTAGGGACGTGGAACATCACCTCGCTGGCGGGGAAGGAGTCTGAGATTGTGCGTGAGGTTGACAGGTTCCGACTAGAGATAGTCGGGATCACCTCTACGCATGGCTTGGGCTCTGGGACCACACTCCTCGAGAGAGGATGGACTCTTCATAAACAAAAAGTGTCTTACAAAATTTAAAATCAACCTATTGTTTTATGTGAATGATTAGGCAGGATGATTTTCAGATCATTTTGGAGCAAAAACTCTAGGCGACTCCAAGTCCTGTGGACACACACATATTAAGTATGTGTTTTGTGGCCTTATTTCAGGAACTTTCATTTTTAGTTTTTTCAATAATCATGCATAAACATTATTTTCTCAAAAATACAAACATGTACATACATGTTGCTCACATATTATGGTAGCCCTGTTTCTGCGAAATAGACTGTAATTTCACCTGTGCCATTAATATGTTTATAAGCAACTGAAAAAAGCACAAATGTCAGGGCATGTCAGAATATCTCAAGGACCCCAAAAACACCTTAGACCCCAAAGATTTAATCTATTTCTAGTTCTGCACACAATACCAACAGAATTAAGGAAAATCCTGTAAGCACATGCTGATGGTTTGATCAGTTTTGACTTTACCGTGAATATGAAGATGATATTTCCTGATCTGTCGCTCCACTTCTCTCTGATCATTGTTGTAATAAATATATATAAAGTATTTCCCAGCGTCACTGTAGATCAGGTCGTTGATGATGACGTCACATGATCCTTCTTTACACACTCGACCGCTGCAATTTCTCTCCTCACACACAGGGATGTGTTTCGACAGACTGTATAATCTGATCTCCACAATCTCTCTGTCCTCAGATCCACAGGATAGAGTGACGATTCCTCCCTTTATTCCTGACACAGTTTTACTGGAGGATTCTGCACACACACACACACACACACACACACACACACACACACACACACACACACACACACACACACACACACACTATATAACTATCAATACTGAAAAATAAATGTTCTCTTTTCTGTAATCAATATGATCTTAAATATTTTAGTTGTTATTTTAGTGAACTGGATTAAATAAATAAAATAAATGAAGACAAAAAAATTATCAGAAGTGCACATCACAAATGTTTCACATGTTGATGACAGTATAAACCTAGAGATGTGTCACTGCAGTTTTAGTGAACAATGTTTATTAATCAATGAATCAGAAGATCTGCATAAATAAACCAGTGATATCAGCGTGTGTTTTTTTTGTTTTGTAATAATGATGGGAAATTTACACCATCAATCACAAATCAAATCCCTGAGTGGGACAACAGAAGAACTAATTATTGACTTAGATATATACTGACCGCTATGACTGATGAAGCACAGCAGAAGAGGAAGAGGAAGAGTCATCCTGACGAGAAAACAGAAGGTGTGTTATGTGACAGACACAGACATTATACACACACTTTTTTTTTTTTAAATATTTTGATCCACTTGTTCATAAACATCAAACTATAATCTTTTTTGTCTTTGTTTCTCCCATCATAGAAAGCACAATGGGAATGTTTATGTGTGTGTGTGTGTGACCGGGTGTGTGTGTGTGTGTGTGTGTGTGTGTGTGTGAGAGAGAGAGAGAGAGAGAGAGAGAGAGAGAGAGAGAGAGAGAGAGAGAGAGAGAGAGAGAGAGAGAGAGTAGTTAATTCCTATCATAGTCAAATACAGTGCAAAAAGGACAAAGCAAATATAATTAATTGTTGTACCGTTCAGAATTTGAATCTGATCGCAATCGGTCAAACGGGTTTGCAGAAGGTCTGAAATTGTTCGGGATTCAGTTTGTTTCATTCAGGTAGTTCACGCATTTAATTGTTGCAATGGTTTCTCAGACCAAAATAGTAACGGGATCATTTTTTAAAGACAGAAAGAGCGATAAATGAGATGAATTTTACAATGCAGTGTAGGAAAAAAAAAATATTTTTTTGTATTTTTTTGTTACTTTGTCACTTTATTTATTTTTTACTTTGATTATATATATATATAGGCTATATTTAAATACATTATTTTAGTGTCACAAAATCTACATATTTTAGGAGTTGTTTTTCCTGCTACCAAACAACGGAGTAATCGCGGTAGAACAAGGGACAGGCCACTTGCAAATTTTCCGAAGAGTCATCTGTCTGTCAAAAAAAAAAAGTCTGTCAGGAAGAAGACCCCATTTTTTCTAATGCTGATACACTTTGTGCCATCATGCCCACATGATCGCTTTACCTTGATGGAACAACAAATTGCCCAAAATTCTGTTATCCACCCTTTTCTGCTCTAAACAATGCGCGCTGCCATGACGACGATGCCTGTTGTCAACTTCCGGTTCGAGTCTAGCTGGTCTATGCTTTTTTGCCATGTCTTTTAGATTGTGTCATCCCCACATCGCTAAACTAAATCGAAAAAAAAAAACCATTCATTATGATTCCTTAAACTATTTAACCCTTTCATGAATAGGTCACTACAGTGGACGGCTATTATAAAATCATTTTCTTGAATTTGCATGGGTTTTGATGGCACAATTGCCAACGCATTCTCATCCTAAAGCATCATATACGACACTTTTGCCAAAGCGTAGACATCCAACGCACATGGCACCCTTTAGCGTCAAAAATGAGACGTTTCGGTTATGGTAGGTTTAGGTAGAAATATCTAATGAGTCAAATCACAGTTACATTTTCCAAGTTTTGATTTTAGATTGGGAGAAAATTCTGATTAATCGTCTGTCCACTATGTGGACCTCATACATCAATGGCTATTTCAGCTACAATTCATACTTTTACTGTGAATGTTATTTTAAAAATACTTTATCTGCAGTAACGTCTTTTTTACTGTAAATAAATGTAGCTAAAATACATTTGTATAAGTATGTCATTTTCATTTACATCAAAAAAGTAATGTGATAATGCACATTATTCGTAATGAATTTACTTGTTAGATCAAAAAGTAATCTGATTACATTATGCATGTTACTTGTAATGTATTGCCCCAACACTGCTCATTTCAGATGAGATTGAAAACTGATCAGTTTTCTGAGAGGTAGGGATGTCACGATATCAAAGTTCTAGTATTGGCAAAACAATTTTACTGTTCTTCTCGGTACGACAGCAAAATCTGTTGGAACTTATTTAACTATTTGAACAAAATATTGAATTAAATGCAATTACTTTATTATTTATGGTGGTAATCAAGTAGCTACATAAAACATTTAAGCATTGAAGGCTACATGCTGTTTAAAAGTTGACATTGTTAAAATTAGACACTGAAAAATTAGCAATCTTCTATGCACACATTATTATTAGTAGTAGTAGTAGTATTTTTATTACATTAAGACGTAGCTAAATCTACTGTAGAACATAATTAGAATATAATCTTCAAGTTAACTCAAACTTTTATTTATTTAGATGGGTTGCCGTAAAGACATATGAGTTTCTGTGTGTGTATGATCTGTTATTATTGTGCCATAATTAAACAAACAAATCCAGCATTTTGCAAACAAACACGATCTGCTTTGCAAAGAAAAACTCGAGTCACAAACAAACAGAAAGCAATGTGCAAATGAAAAGGTCAATTCAGGTCACGAGACTTGAACACAAGTTTAAAAACAAAGAAGTGGCGTTATATTTAAAAATAGGAAAACTTACATGGTAGAAAAACTGCATACGGTGATGAAAGTTGACTTTGACGGTGATGAAGTGTTGTCGCCTGCAGATGGGGAGGAAATAAGGCAAGACTCCTTAGACATCATATAAAGCAGACAATGAAGCCCAAACATAAGACATCTAAATGCTTGTCTGTACTTGTCACATTCCAGCATGTACGTATTATCCTCATGGATTCTGTGGAAATGGATCAGGGCCAGTCTTTCCCATCATCACACAAAGTGAAATGCTTACTAGTCATATTATTTATTATTCTGTGTGGATTCTATGGAACTGGATTGGGGCCAAAAGTATTTAACTAAAAATTCTGCTCATTCTGGTTGTTTTACTTTAGTGTAAAGATGCACATTTAACCATGTACATAACACATATTCTTTGTGCATTGAGTAAAAAAAAACAAAAAAAAAACATACAGCCTACCTACAAATGAATCCTTTAGTTTATTGTGGCATTGGTTTACTGACTGTGCTAGAGTAATGTGACAATGTCCCTGTAAAGACAATTCTACAAAAAAGTTCTAAACACATTATAAATGTTGCATATGTATTGCTAAAACATTACAAAGACTGTGAACTGTGAAGTACTGAAATGTGGAGTTAGACCGTTAAACAGTTTTTCACCATTGCAATTTTACGGATTGTTTGGGCGGGGCTAAAACAGGGCTCGATGACGCACTGGAGCCCATGAGCTCCTGGGCAAGCCCCCTATTTGATGACGCATTTTGCTGATCTCATCTCTCCCCTAACAATAGAGCACATTCGCATTCGCTGCTCAATCGCGAGTGACTGTCAGTCCTATTAGTTACTACAGCCTACAGTTTTCTAGCTAGCTTTGACACAGAAATGCATAGGCTATTACCTGGATGCGATCATGTACAAAACAGATTGGTATCTTCATTTAAATTCCCTAAAAACGATCAAATCAAGAAGAGGTTTTTAGAGAGCCAACCTTGTTGATGAAGAGCTGATCACCGCAAACACCCGCCTCTGAAGTGATCGTTTTACACTGGATCGTTTTATAAACTTTCCTCAGAGACAACTGGGATTCACTGATTATTCACTGATAATCCACTGTTACTGGTGAACTGTTACCCCTCGCTTCTGCGCACGGCACCTTCTCAGCAAGCAGGGCGCCATTGCCAATAATTGAATCGAAATGATAAAAAATAGATTTTTTAGGATTTTTTTTAACTGCTCGTGCCGCCCCCCATGTGACACGAAGAAATGCCGCCCCGGGCGACTGCCCGATTCGCCCGTGCCTAGAACCGCTACTGAACTAGCACACATCGTTCCCGAACCACTTTTCTTCATGTTGTAATTGTTATCATCTTTGTCACTGCGATTTCAGTGCTTTGTCGGCACAACGGAGCTAGCTAGCAAAACAAACCCAGCCCGCGAGAACGGAAGTAGGTTGCATCGACCGGAGGAGTTTACGATGTAGAGCGGAAACGGCTCATAAACTTGTCTATTGGCGGCGCCGGCTCCACTACACACGTTACTTCCGCATTCCAAAGTTCCTATGGCAGTCTATGGGAGTGTTGCAACTCTCTCTCTCTCTATGGATCTCCTCTTTAGCATTCGGAGAACACATAAATGGAACAGGCTAGCAAGTGCATGTCATTGCGTCATTACATCAGTGAAAGGTCCGCTTTCGGCACTGCAAAAATGATAGTGCTACTGGTTTGGTTGCTGTACCGTACTGTTTAAACCAAGCGGCAACATTCTAATCTGAAAAATGACAACGCATTCTCACCCAAAGGCATCACCTTAAAGCGTCAGTTAGATGACGCGGTTAGGTTTAGGTCTGGGGTGGGGGTAGGGTTACACGCGATCCTAGGGCATCATCTTACTGACGCTAAAGGGCGCCTAAAGCGTCAGATATTGAAGCATGGTCAAAATCCTCAGTTAGGTGACGCCTTGGGGGTGAGAATGGGCTGAAAATGAAGCCTACCCGTAATTGCGAAAAACTGCAATACATCCAAAAATCCACTAGAGGGCTGTCCCAAAAGGGAGCTAATATCCATAGACCTCATGTTAAAGGGTTAGTTCACCCAAAAATGAAAATTAAGTCATTAATTAATCACCCCCATGCTGTTCCAACCCCGTAAGACCTTCGTTCATCTTCGTAACACAAATAAAGATATTTTTGATTGAATCTGAGAGCTGGATCAGTCCTACATAGGATGCCTGAGGGACTGGCTCTTGACGGCCCATAAAGTCATTAAAGAAAAGGTTTAAATATTCCATGTGCCTACAGCGGCTCAATTATAAGTTTGTCAAGCGACGAGACTACTTTTTGTGCGAAAAAAACATAAATAACGACTTAATTCGACTATTCTATTACTTCCTTATGGGCGCATACGCGAGAACTGAGACGAGGACGTTCTCATTCGTCTACTTCTTGTTACCGGCTGCACCGCTTAGGAGTATTACCGCCCCCTACCGTATAAAATGATGATCCATATATAAGGCGCTCCGGATTATAAGGAGAAGAAAAAACAGTTTTTTGAGAAGATTAAAGGCTTTTAAGTGCACCTTGTAGTGCGGAAAATACGCTAATTGAAAAGCGTATGTACAGCGCGCATCTTCCTCTGCTTGTAAACAGAAAGTTTTGCGCTTCCAGCTATATCAGCACATCATCTTATACGGTAGGGGGCGGTAAAACTCCTAAGCGGAGCAGCCGGTAACAAGAAGTAGTCGAAGGAGAAGAACGTCCTCGTCTCAGTTCTCGCGTATGCGCCCATAAGGAAGTAATAGAATAGTCGAATAAAGTCGTTATTTATGTTTTTTCGCACAAAAAGTAGTCTCGTCGCTTGATAAACTTATAATTGAGCCGCTGTAGGCACATGGAATATTTAAACCTTTTCTTTAATGACTTTATGGGCCGTCAAGAGCCAGTCCCTCAGGCATCCTATGTAGGACTGATCCAGCTCTCAGATTCAATCAAAATATCTTTATTTGTGTTACGAAGGTCTTACGGGGTTGGTACAGCATGGGGGTGAGTAATTAATGACTTAATTTTCATTTTTGGGTGAACTAACCCTTTAATTAAAAAATAAGCGAGATATATATTTAATACATATTTAATAATAAAAATGTGCATGTTGTGAAGAAAATAAAAACCTAGAGAATTTCATCCTTTAATATGCTGCTATAGAATTAATAATATGTCTGAATACATAAATAAATACATAAATAGATTTTCTTACCAATAATACAAATAGTCATATCAACGGACATAATTTTACATAGACCCACACATAGTTGAATAAACAAATAAGGATTTTACAGTAGCCTATATATAATATACTAATAGTAATTACAATAAAATCAATTTCACAAGAAGAAGTAGAGTAGTTAATTTGCGCATGAATGCATTTTTTTCCATAGTGACGAGTCTAGAGAACATGCGGTATAGGCCTATTGTTTTTTGTTGTTGTTTTTTTCTTTGAAAAATAAATATATAATATTAATATAGTATTCCATACATTTGTCAGAGCTTGGTAGACAACTATTATATTTGTTAATGTTATTAAACAGATTAATAAATACATTATAATTGGTATTATTAAATATTAATCATAAATGCATACTAAATTATGGTCATATCTGTAATACACACTTTATGGCAATTAAAAGAAAGTTTTAAAAGTGCTACATTATTTAAATAAAAAAATAGACAAACAATTACATAACAATTTCAAAATGAAATTCAAAATCAATGTGAGTAAATAAAAACAATAAAAATATCCCATCCATGCAGAATTGTCAAAAACATGATTACTGGTTCATATATATACATATAGTAAATAAGTAAAATAATAAAATGTAAAATAATAATATAAAATGTTTTCTGTTGCAAGCTCACATGTTTTCTCTTGGTTTATTGTTGAGCTGTCAAATTGTCATGTTGAAATAACCAGTTCCATACCCTTGACACATTTTTTAAATTTAATTTAATTATTTATTTATCTCGTGTATGGGTGTCCCTTATTTTGCCTCACTGAAGGTGGCAACCCTGGGTGCTTCTCATTTCTTATTTGTGCATCCCCGTTTCCTTTCCTTGCTTCCTTTCCTTGCGTCTCAGCTCCACCCCCTGTAGGATGCGAGGGAAGGAAGCGAGGAAAGGAAAGGAGGACAGAGGAATCGAATAAAAGCTTTTTTATATATATTGGAATACTTGATGACTCGAGCGTCACTCCACAGTGTCATCAGCAGCGCTAAAAGGATCTGCCCTTATGATGTTGAAGTTTGGTTATTTAATAAATTCATAATAAATAATAATAAAGATAGACTATACTGTTGAAATATCTGAGATGTGTGGTTTATATAAACTGCAAAGGTAAAGTATAAATTAAAATGATTGTGACCGATGTGAAGGGGGAGGAGAATTGACACGTGCGTCACGTTTACCACACCTTCTCGGATGACTGTAAACTGTAATGATGACGTCACGCCGGGGTCACATGACTGACCTGCAACCAAAACAGCACAGCAGAAATGTCAGTTCTTCATTCCGCTTTTGTGTTCAGAGTTTAAAACATGTCGATGTTTAAAGTGAGTTTTATTTGTTCTGTGCTGTTTGTTGTGTTCGGTGCCGCGCGTGGGTTTCTGGGAAATGGAGATACATTTCGACGAAAAGTGAGTATATAAATCACTGAGATCAAGCGAAAACAATGAAACTAACTTCACACCGCAACAACAAATAACCTCTAGAAAGCTGCAAACACCTGGAGAAGAGACACTTCTGAGAAAGAGTATTATTTTTACATTTTAATCTAGTCTTTGAACGTGGTGTTTATACATCTGAAGCCGTGTGTCAAGTTTTATTGATAATTGTTCATTTTCTCTGTAAATTGAGGCTCGTTTCTTACAAAAATCTGGCTCTCAGGTTCCTCTTTGTGTGTTTTTGAAAGGTTGGATCAGAACTAGATAGTTTTTCAGTATAATAAGTTGCATGAAACTGTATTATATAAATGAATTAGGATTTATGTGTTCATAAGACCTTTGAAACCCATAAACACACAAGTACAACTGATTTAGTGTATTGTGCATATAATTCTACATTTTTACTATAATAATGTGAATGATTAATAATTATGGCAAATCATTCATTTGAACTGGTTCTTTTCAGAACTACAAAGCATTTACAGTCACAGCATCAGAGACATTTGACAATCTATAAATGACTTCAGTTTAATATAAATGTTTAATTGACAAGCCATAAACACTATTTAACTAGATCAGAGATAGAAACTGTACTATGTGGTTTTCTTTCTTGTTATGGTGGTAGTTCAGATTGCTCTTCCAACATTTTCACTTTTCCCACCACAAAATCGATATGATTTCATATTTGTATTGCTTTTAAATTTTCCATGATTGAAGTAATATTACTACTAATTGACTCTGACAACTGTAGGTTTTGCAGGAAAATATTAGCATATAGAGAAAACATTACTGATCTGTTTCATACTTCCAACACTATCATAAAAGTCAGGTTTTGCGATTCAACAAAATGTCCTCTATGTTAGTCTGTTTAATAACTTTATCATGCTGATATATATTGAGACTTCTTCAACATTTCTCACATGATCAGTTTATTGGCTATAGTTTAGCTAATGGTGATGAACATGAGCAGAACTCAGTTCTCAGATCAGTGGATATTTGACTGGTTTTGTCCGTCCTTCTGTTGGACTCTCACACATGAATTATGTTGAATATCTGATAAATTTAACTACACAATTAGATAAAACCAGTTTAGCTCAACCAGTGACCAAGCAATGCTTCATGATGTTCAGTGTGTGTGTAAAAAGAGCATTAGCGATTACAGAAAACACACTTCAGCAGAACATCATCAGCTCAAGTTTCTGGGCCCAAATTGTTAGAAATTTTAAAATTTAAATGAATTTCTGGGTATAATGTGTCTCAGTTTACTTTATTTTGCTCTCCTCATTTACATAAATGAACTATAGTGTCCCGCACACACTAGTATAGAAATATCAAAAATAATATCTGGTGTCTGAATAATTTTTGGTTTGACTGTAAATCATTTGAATTCACAACGATATTCAACACACACTCTAAACCGAATCTGAGACGTCTCCATCTGTGGTGTGTACGATACTGCTGTGATGAACACACTTCTCTGGTGTCCTCAGGTGTCTGTGGAGCTGAACCCGGGTCTGGCCCCGCCCTCGTCTCTTCCTCCGGGTGTCGCTCTGGTTCATGCGCGAGGACTGGGACTGAACGACACGCTGCACTTCCTGCTGTGTAACCGAGGCGCTCCAGCGCTGCTGCTGGTCCACACCAACAGCACCGAGTCCGCAGTGCAGGTCAACTGGCCGGAGTTCATCAACCGCAGTTCCCCGGGCAGCCTGAGGGTGGCGCCAGAGAGCAGCGTGACCTACAGCGCAGCACTAGTGTTCACCAGGGTGAGGAGGATCTTCCTCTCTCTATCTCATGGTCATGGCCACTTCATCTGTATTTGGAGAGGATTTGTCTTTAAAATGTTGAAAGACGTTCTTACCTTCATTCTGGAATGAACACCGATGTGTGTGTGTGTGTGTGTGTGTGTGTGTGTGTGTGTCTCAGATCTGGGAGTACGATGACGTCAACAACACGGCAGACCCACAGACGGCAGCCGAGTCCAGTTTCTACTCTCCTTACGAGCTCCAGAACTTCATCTGGTCGGACCTGAACGCCACCGCCAACCAGTCGGATCACGTGATCACGCTGTGCGGCCGCGAGAACACCGAGAGCTTCGCCAACGGCTCCCTCTGCCTGAGAGTAAGCACAACTGCAGCACACACACACACACACACATATGATGTGTGTTGTGAAAAGCTCTATACAATTAAACATGAATTGAATTGAATATGGAGATGATTCATGTGTAAGAAAAATGATGTGGACGTTGAAGATCTCAAAGCTGAAGTGTGTGACTGTGGTAAAGCACAGCTTGGGTTCACCGGCGTCAGAACGAACCCTGAACACCCAGATCTCAAACCCTTTATCCTGCCACAGTTCAACACTCTGTGGTGCTTCTGTGGCCTGTTCAGACTTTATTGTGTAGGGTTGGGTGTTAGATTCAGATGTTCCCATTCGATTCAATTTTTAATCACAAGCTATCAGTATGATTTGATTTTGATTCACAAGCTCTCAATGTGATTCGATTTCTATTTTTAAAGCTCAATGCGATTCGAGTTATATTCAAAAGCTCTCAATGCAATTCGATTTCTATTCACAAGCTCTCAATGCGATTCGATTTCTATTCTAAAGCTCTCAATGCGATTCAATTTCTATTCACAAGCTCTCAATGTGATTCGATTTCTATTCACAAGCTCTCAATGCAATTCGATTTCTATTCTAAAGCTCAATGCGATTCAATTTCTATTCACAAACTCTCAATGTGATTCGATTTCTATTCACAAGCTCTCATTGTGATTCGATTTCTATTCTAAAGCTCAATGGGATTCAATTTTGATTCACAAGCTCTCAATGCGTTTGGATTTCTATTCAAAAACTCAATTCGATTCGATTTCGATTCTAAATTCATTTTTGATTCTCGATTTGACTCAATGAATATAGATTTAATACAAATCCTATATTTATAAAAAGAACAGTGCACATAAGTTTACAAGTGGTTAATTAATAAAAAGAAATTAAATTTATATTAAACTCTTTTATTTTAGGAACACATGGGCACATTAAAGCAAAACCCAACTCTATATTTCAAATGCGTACGATGAATCGACAGGATTTTGATGCGAGATGAAAATTGATGCTGTTTTTTAACGAGTCTGAACAGTGATGAATGATGATCACTCAGGATCAGGTTATATTATGTTGAAGATATAAACACATAAAGTCTCCCAGCATTCTCTGTAACAGTGGAGGAGAACTAATACTGGCTTTTGGGTGATGGATAGATAAAAATGGAAAAAAAAATCAATTCAATCTATTTTGAATCGTCCACATTTTAAAAAATGATTAACCTAAAAATGATGTGATGAACCCAAATAGTGAAGAAACGATATAACTCCGCCTCCTTCATGTCTGTGATGATTAAGGCATTTAGAGGATGAGCTCATTCTAACACACATATCTGGGAGTGTAATCTGCTGCAGTCTCTCACATGTGTGTGTGTGTGTGTGTTTTCCGCTCTCCTCAGCTGTCGCTGTTCGAGTCCGCGGGCCGCGAGGGGGCGTGGCCGAGTCTCCTGCATAACTCTAACTCCTCCCAGCTGCAGGTGTGGCTGGACGGGGCGGCGCCGCGGGGGAACCGCTCTCGCTTCGCTCTGGAGTTCCAGTCGGTCGGGGACGCCGGCTTCCAGGGGCGGGTGGACGTGCGCAGCTCCATAGATGATGAATACACTCCTTCCATCTTCAAGGTGTGTTCCCCGTACAACAACAACTCGATGCTTTAGTTCTGCTCTACACCTCCTGTAATGCAGCGCCTGTTATACTTCCCCATGTTCATCAGTGTTGAGTGTGTAATGTGTGATGATGAGAAAGCTCCAGTTCTCTATAGTGTCAGACAACTCCTGAAACGCCTCCACTGTAGTCTTGAGTTTCTTTCACGTTTTGTCCATATAAATATCAGCAACTACAGCAAAGTGTATATTTTTGCTCAGTTTGAGCCTGATCTGTTTTTTCCTCCACGTTCTCGCTTCTGGAGCAAGAACACATGTGGGCGGAGCTTGATTGTGTCTGTGAGGAATTGATTGGATGGTTGTGGTTTGCTATTGGCTGACCTTGTGTGAGTGACAGATTAACCCTTGTGCATCCTTATGGACATTTTCAGTTTTGTTTTTTTGATCACTTTGCCTGTGTTAAAGCTAACTGCAAAAAACGTGGCACAGGTGTGTGTATTTTTATTGGAATTTTACTATTTCACCGTCGTTTTCTTAAAAAATATTTTTTGCATTAGGTACAAAAAACACTCCCTCTCAGCGCCTTTTGGACAAAAATGTCCCCATTGAAACCCATTAAAACTGCCATTTTTAATCCCCGGTTCAGTTAACTATAAAATTATGCAATATTTGATAAGAGGCTTTCATTCTGAAGGCAAGGCTTCAAATGTTTATTTTTTAACTATCTTTTATCAGATGGTGCCATATTTTTTAAAGTTTGGCCTATAAAACAAATATGGCTATATTCCTGTTTTCTGCTTCGGCATATTATAGAGCCGACTGGATAAATTATGCAACAATATTTGTGTGGGTGTGTTGGTATGGATGTCAGAGTGTGGTTAGTATGTGTGTTATAAAAAAAATATAATACTGAGAGAGAAAAACTGCAAATAACAAATCCAATCACTGTGAGCTCCAGTGGGGTTTTGCTGCCACCCAATGGGGAAAATATGTTACTACGCCCAAACAAACTGTTACCCAAAGCTCATTTTTTGAGATATCATCCTCAAATTTGGAACACAACCTATTTAGATTTATGGCTTTGCTTTTATTGCAGTTTTGAGTTCAACCTGATTTATAAAATATATATTTTATATAAATACATTTTTATAAATAATTTTCATAAACTTATACCTATATAATTTTTTGGGGGGGATTTACTTATTATTATTTTTTTTACTTCAGCAATAATCTGCAAAGGGTCTTCTTTAAAATGATACCAAACTTAAGCGTCACATTTTTATGACAGTCTTCTGACACGGACATTTTTGTCTTCCATGTACCTATGTGTAACTTTTTTTAATTGATGCACAAGGGTTAAAGCCCCGCCCACATCATCAGAGAAAAGAAGCTGCAAGAGGAACTTATTCTGACTCAAGATTGATGTGCAGTAACAATAATGATGTGCAGGATAAATGATTAATAATAAACCGTGACAGATGTTGACGTGTCTCCGGGCAGGTGTTTGATTGGCTGTCGCTGCCGCTGAACTCCAGCCGTGTGTGGGGTTTCTCGCAGTGGAAGCCCGTGGCGTACCGTAAGCCGGCGCCGGTGTTCGAGGACGCGACGCCCTGCAGGAGCTCTCCTCTGGTGTCCGTGAGCCGCGTCCCCCCGTCCGCGCTGGTCCAGGCCTACTTCACACACCAGCCTCACACACACGGCCTCAACATCAGCTTCGGGGTCGATAAGGACCCGGTGTTCTACAGCGACACCAGATACATCAGCTGGTGAGAGCATTCACCTTTTACATATACTGGCTGTGTGTGTCTGTTAGGAAATAATGGCATTTTTTATTTAAATATTAAATAAATATTAAATTGTTATTTTATTGAGTGTAATTGTCTTTGATAAAAATATATATTTTTAATTGTTTTTTTTTATATTTTAATTGAAGATATTAAAATTATTATGTATTAAATAAATATTGATTTATTTTATTTATTGTAATTACTTTTTATACACATACTTGTCAATTGGTATTATTAAAGGAATAATAAAATGTAAAAAATATTACAAAATTAATAGTTTAAAATATATGTAAATATTAAAATACTGTATAATAATTAATATAGAATTACTATAATTAATATTTTCTGTTGTTATTTATTTTGGTTTTATAGACTTTTCTTTGTTTTTACCATACTTGCCGATTATTATCTGTTATTAAAAAAATAGTTTAAAAACAAGTTTAGAATATTGCTTTTGAATATTTTAATTAAAAAATTAAATACATATACATTGTTATTTTATTGATTGTAATTTTTTATTGGTTCTTTTTTTATTCATCATTTATTTATTTATTTATTTTTACGCATACTTGCCAACTAGTATCTGTTGGAAAATGTTACAAAAACTACAAATATTTTAAAATTTTTAATGAATTTTTAAATATTTGAGGATATAAAAATACTACATATTGAAAAAATATTAAATTGTTATCTTATTCCATGAGTGATCTCATTTTACACTAATTGCAACCACTATAAAGCACATATTGTCACTATTTTTTTAGTAAATGCATCTAGTTTGTTTCCAATGAGTGAAAACACAGCCCTTGACAGTCAAACAGATAGTCCCGCCCCCGAACTCGAATGATTGGTCGAGTCAGAAGTTGTCAAACTTCCAATGAGTGAATTACAGAGACTCTGAACAGCAGCCAACAGCTTTACAACACATGAAATGATCTGTACCTGATATTACACACAGTATTTTGAGTATGAGAGTGTGTGTGAACAGTGTTTGTGTGTACTCTCTCCAGGACTGTGTTAATGGGCATGGGCGAACCTCCAGCCGATTCCTTCTCCACGTTGATCATCATCATCATCGCCGTGGGTCTCGGCACTCCGCTGGCCATCATCATCGTGGGCGGAGTGTTTGTGTGTGTCCGCAAGAGGATGACACAGTCCTCAGTCTACGAGCCAATCAACTGAGACGTCAGGGTACAAGCCCCGCCCCAATGCACACACCAGCCAATCAGTGCTGAGGTCACGGACCCCTGATTGGACGATTAGAATGATCACATGCACGTTACTGATAATGAGGAGGAGCATTTGCAGACTTCCTCTGGAAGAAGAAGAATTACGAATGTTTTGCACCTTTATACTGAAAACTGGAAAAAATCGAGTGATTATTTGATATTGTTCATTTTTTTAGACATGATGCTTATTTGTTCTGTGCCCCATAATAATAATAATAATAATCCTGCGTGATGCATATTCAGTTATGTGCCTGATTTTAAAACATGAATTTCTCTTTAATGCTAATATACACGCAGAGACACGAGCGAGTGAGTCTCTCAGGGATCAGGTGTGTGTGTGTGTGTGTGTTTAGGAGAACGCCGCCGGTTTGATGCACATTTGCATTCTGTAAATATGATTTGCACCGCATTTAAAAACACAATGAAATCTTTCTGTTTTTGTTACCGCCAGTTACTAATAAAAATGTAAATATGGATTTAAAACTGCATCCGTTTCTCTCTCTCTACATAAGCTCCTCCCCCTCGACTCTGATTGGATGAAGTTTCAAACACCTGTTAATCAAACACTGATGCATTACAATCAAACATCTAGAGCATCATTTATTCATAAACATCAGATTTGAGTAGAAACATTAGTAAACATGAGGAATATGGCACAAATCAACAGTTATAATCACAGTATGACATAAACAACTGCATTTCTCAAATATTACACAAAACAAACACTTATCCAACATATCCGGGTTACAAATAACTTTTTAGGAGATTTTTCATGATTATTAAACGCATATCCCTGTTATTTATTTTTACATTAGCTATTGGAAAGACATTTTTAAAACAATAACAAACATTTGGAGGGTAATGAAATAATGTGAGACATCATAACGGCCGTAAAACAAGTGTCACTTTCCAAAAGCACAATTATTAATGAGATCATACAGGTGCATTAAAGCACTGTATAGTGCATTCTTCATAAAGGCTGTGAGTGATGTGTTACAGTGTGTTTGTGCTTCTTAGATTTCAGGCTTTGTGAGCGTCACTCGATCCTGAAAGAGCACAGCACAGATTCAGCGGTTAAACCGGTTTCTTCATGACACCATTGAGTTTCTGGCCATTCATCAGCGGTTCCCAGTGCAGGAGCGAGTGTGTGCCGAGGGATTCAGGACGGACAATCAGTCGTCGTTCTCCAGTCACGTTCATCTTTATTTAAAGGGATTGTTCTGAATGCTGAACTCTGGGTTCACCCCCACCATCGCAGTCTCGGGGGCGGGGCCGTGGTGGGAGGAGCCACGTCAAACACCGCCTCCGGCCCGCCCACAGAGCCAATGAAATACAGGTTTGCTCCCAGGAGGACGAGCAGCGGCAGGAAGGAGAGCGCGTGTCCGAACGCACGTACACTGCTGCCGAACGCCACACACACCCAGTAGATCATCCTGAGGACGACAACACACACAACATTCAGTGAGTGACAAACACACACAACCCAACGAGAACGCCACACACACCCAGTAGATCATCCTGAGGACGACAACACACACAACATTCAGTGAGTGACAAACACACACAACCCAACGAGAACGCCACACACACCCAGTAGATCATCCTGAGGATCAACAAAACATCAATGAGCAAGAACACACAGAAACGCCTCCGAGCGCTTATTTCAGAATGCTTTATGATTGATTTTGTTCGGTTTGTATTTCTGTAATTAGATGAAAATTAGAACATGCTCATGTACTTTTTGAATATAAAATGTAATATTCGGTCACTTACAAATTCGGTTGAACATGTTTCCCCTCCCCAAATATTATAATGTTAGCGTAACGTAATTTTAGAGTATTGATTGAAATAATGTAAATGTTACATTTAAAAAAATCTTCGATTTAAATGTAACTGTTCGAATGATGTGAATGTAAAATTTAAAAGTAACTTTTTTATTTATTTAAACAACAGTATTCTGATGTAAATGCTACATTTAAAAATCTCAAAAGTAACACTTTTCCCAATTTAAAGGTACCAGTATTAAATATTTTAAATGGTACATTTGCCAATTTAAACATAAAAGTATTGCAAAAATGTAAATGCTACATTTAAAAGCCTTAAAAGTAACATTTTACAATATAAATGTAACACTATTTAAATAATGTAAATGTTACATTTAAAATTCTTAAAAGTAACACGTTTCAAATTTAAAAGTAACAGCATTCCACTAATGTAAATGTTCAATTTAAAAGTCTAAGAGTAACCTCCCCGACACACACACACACACACCTGCCGAACACGAAGACGACGGTAAGCAGCGGCACCAGTTTGAGCAGGTCCGGTTGGGCGTAGGTCGCCATGACAGCGAGCTGGAGGAAGAAGAGCAGGGAAAGGTGGAGCGAGTCTCGAACGAAGAGTCCGTGAACTTTGACCTCGCGATTCTCCCACGTCCCGTCGAACAGAGGCTTCAGCGTCCCGAACCTTAGCCGGGACACACCCTGGACCAGCACACCTAACACACACACACACACACACACACCGCTCGTCACTGAACACTCACTGGTGCATATATACAGTCAGACCAAAAACTATTCACACATAAGAGATATCATTTTTATATTTTCTGTAAGTGCTAATGCTCTTTTTACACACACACTGAACAACATGAAGCATTGCTTGGTCACTGGTTGAGCTAAACTGGTTTTATCTAATTGTGTAGTTAAATTTATCAGATATTCAACATAATTCATGTGTGAGAGTCCAACAGAAGGACGGACAAAACCAGTCAAATATCCACTGATCTGAGAACTGAGTTCTGCTCATGTTCATCAACTATAGCTAAACTATAGCCAATAAACTGATCATGTGATCTGAATATATTTAGGTTTGACTGTATGATATATGTGTTGTATAGATCCTCACCCAGCACGATGGGGGCGCTGGCGAAGAACGCACAGCGCAGTGTGTAGAGCAGCCTGAGGGGGGTGCTGTCGAGCGCAGGGGCGTCGAAGGGGAGGAGCTTGTAACCGGCCCACGTTAGTAACGGGAACATGAGCGCGGCAGCCGTTACACACACACACAACCGCATAACCTCCACACAACTGCTGTCTGAGACACACACACACACACAGAAATCATGTTAATACAAGCAAACAAGTGTGCTTTATACAAAACAGTATCCCACAATTCAATGCACTCTACTTGACCCAGGGTTATTATCATTAGCTAAAAATAAACCATAAAAAAATTATTTGTTACTTGAAATAAAAATAAATGTTAATTGAAATAATAATCTAAAAAATGCATTTAAAAATGTCGTGAACTGAAATCATACAAAATATAAAAAACATGTTTGAAAAAAACATTTTTGTTATTCGAATTAAAGATACGTTTTAATTAAAATATTAATATAAAAACGTATCTCTAAAATCATATCTAGCAACCGACATCTTTTCTCATGCAATTGCAACTTTATAACTTTTTATAAACGTTATAACGTTTAATTGTGAGATTAAAAAAAAGTCAGAATTACGAGATAAAAAAAAAAATCTTTGTTAAAAAAAAAAAAGTTAAAATAACATAACGAATATTTGATTACAATATTTTTGAACATGCCCATATCTACACGTCGAGCGCATCATTTACCTTCAGGTTTGTCGATCTGGTGGATCCAGGCCGGCTGGAAGTGCTGAGGAGCGCTGGGGGTGAAGTTCTGCTCATCCATCGGGATCTTCTCCATCGGGATCTTCTCCATCGGGATCTTCTCCATCGGGATCTCTGGGATCTGTGTGTGTTCCCGTCCCGTCGACTGCAGGATCATCACGTTGGGTGTGAACGCTTGCACCAGCTGATCTTCTTCCTCCTCCTCCTCCTCCTCATCGTCAGCATCGTTCTCCTCCGCCTCCATCCAGGCGTCCGGTTCCTCCAGCTGTCCTGCGCTCTCCGTCCTGCTGTCGGATCCGTCGGGTCGGGTCGGGTCAGCCATCAGAGGTTTGATCTCAGGACTGAAGATCAGCACCTCCGTCATCTTAGAGTGTGTGTGTGTGTGTGTGTGTGTGTGTGTGTGTGTGTGTTTATGAGCTGAACTGCTCTGGAATCATCTCTGAAACACAAAGTTCACCATGGATATAAAGGATGCACATTTTCACTGACAGACTCCTCAACACACACAGAGAGAGAGAGAGAGAGAGAGAGAGAGAGAGAGATTTCAAACATGCCTGTTGCCATTCCCTTAAAATTATTTGTGAAATTTAGCATTTTCTGAGTAAAAACCATTTTAATATATTCCTACAGCAGATTTTTGACATTATCAGTCGATCATATTTACCCGGATTAGGTTTCTCTCTTCCTACAAATGTTTTTTTTAAATCAATTATTATTATTATTATTAGCCAATGTAAACAAGCATCAGTAATATCATTAATCATCAGCATTAGTTCAACACAAAGTTCATGAAGAGCTGGTTTATCAGAAACACATTCCTCGTGCATTAGTCAATACAATGTGTCTGTGTTAGTCAGACCTTCACACACACACACACACACACACACTCAATAATTCACTGTGAAGTGTTAGTTACTCTGATTCACTCTTATGTCCACATTATTACACTAACAGAAACTGCACTTCATTGAATACATTCACATAAAATGAAAAGGAAATACAAAATAAAGAGAAATGACATCTCAACCAGTGAGAAAAATATGATCATAATTCTTTAGAAACGTGTCCTTCTTATCAATTAGTTAACGAATTTATTCTTCAGTTCTTATCAGTTATCAGTGAGTTTAAGAGATTTTACAATGAGAGAGAAAGACACATTACATGAATAGTAGACTAACCATGAGTGAGTAATGCAGTTCCACCAGTTTCTCCTGAACACACACAGCAGAGATTACCACAACACTGACCAACACGCATTCACGGGTTCATTTCGAGAGAATACAACAACAACAACAACAACAAACTGTTCCTAATACGCATAATAAAAGGAAATTCAGATCTAAAATAAACTCACTCACATGAAACTTGTCTGGGAACGAAAGTAAAATGATAGTGTTTCTTACCTTACACTCCAGAAGAGCCCTATGAATGTATTATATATTATAAGTGATAATAACAGATGAGGAATGAGTGAGAATCGACCGAGATCGCGGTGATCGGGCACGCGCACAGGTGCGACGGTCAGTCCACAGGTTTCTCTGAGGTAATAACTCATTCACTAGCGGCGTCACGTGACTCTCGGCGACGCCCACATTACATACATCTGTATTTAAAATTTTACATGGGGTTTAGCCAACTTAAAATTTTGCCACATTTAATTAATTGTTCGTGTAAAAAAAGGAAGATTTCTAATGTAGGAAGTTTAGCTGATAAAAGTCATTGTTTAGTGCACTAAACCTGTTTTTTACTAAAGCTCATCGGTACAGTATTTGTGTAAACTAGCATATGATTATAAAACATTTTAAGATACAGGAAATCCATACTTTTAAGAAACATAACCTGAGTGCTGTTGTTTACTAGCGCTGCACATGTGTGCGAGTCAGGCGCAGTGAAACCAAACTACCCCGCAGCTGATCGACAGCTCCCTCGGCCAATCACAACGCTGCATTCGCCGTGACAGCCAATCAGGATGGAGGATTGCCAGAGGGACGCGTGTGCACACACGGAACTTCGTCTGAACCTGCGACAGTGTGTTTTCTGAGCTTATTATGAGAAATATCATGTTCACTTTCATTAAAATGTGTTAATATTTAAAGGGCAACATGAGCGGTATGTGCAGGGAGGTAGTTACACTCCAGCTGGGACATTATTCCAACTTTGTCGGGACACATTGGTGGAATTTACAGGTGAGGATGTTTAATAACGGATACATTACAATTACATTAAGCTGAAGAAACCTGACATCACTAAGAAAAGAAATTAAACTAAATTCTACCTCTTTTTGAAAGAGATTACCTATTAATTTATGATTTTTACAGCAATAACTGTAGTAAGTACACTTAAAAAAAGTGGTGTGATATTGTGCATTGTCATGGTTTTGTACTATGTATGACCATGTAATACCTTGACGTTCTTTGAAATGCCATGTAAATATGTTAATTATTCAGTACCCTGGTTTAAAGGTTTCAACACTTTTTGTTTTTCTGGTTGAAAAACTATCTTCACATCCTGATAGCGATCTATAGTAGACGACGTGGTCTAAATATTAAAAGATTAAAATGAAATATTTCTATATCTTGTAGGAGGCGTGGCTCTGAAACCTTTAAAGTCACCATGAAATCAAAATGGAATTTTCTTAATTTTTATAGAGTATTTTATTATTTATTATAAATGATTTATCCGTGCAGATTATTTTTTTTTATTAAAGTCCCCCTGTGGTGTAAATCCAGCGTTTAATGTTTTGTGCGTGTGTGGTGTTTTTAACAGGCTTTAACACACACCATGTGTAAAACTGCTTAAAACTGCAGTGAACCAAAGACAGTCTCAAAAACACGCTTTGAAATCGCTGGTGTTTCTGACGTCACAAACGACCTTGTAACCAATCAGATCAACGTGTGATCGTCAACCAGTGGATCTCAGAGTGAGTGAGTGGAGGCGGGTCTCATTTGCATATTCATAGAACCGCGCATACTAAATGAGGCGAGGGTGTCGAGTTACAGTCAAGATATTTTAAGACATGAAGACATTTTTGCATGTCATTTTGGTGAGTTTTAATGGATAAAATGATTGACTACAGGGGGACTTTAAAATTATGACCTGTTCATACCATGTTATAGCCTTCTGAAATAGTCTCAGTAAAGCATGTGTGTGTGTGTGTGTAGGATGCGGGTCTGGTTTATGACGCGGTGGAGCCGGCGGGTGAGCTTCAGAGTGACGTGATGTTCAGAGAGGGTCAAACGCTGGGTGGTCATGTGACATACACACCTCGACTCATCGCCATGGACCTCAAAGGTACCGGAGTCCATCCTGATTACTGGAACAAAGCAGAAATATAAATTATGGAAGCTTGTTTCCACCGCAGAATAAAAAATAAATTAGGTAATTGTGACTTTTTTTCTCATAATTGCGTGATATAGTCACAATTGTGATATACACTCTGAAAATCGTGATATATAGTCACAATTGTGTGTTATATAGTCAGAATTGCGTGATATAGTCACAATTTTGTTATACAGTCAGAATTGTGTTATATAAAGTCGCAATTGTGTGATATATAGTCACAATTGTGTGTTATATAGTCAGAATTGCGTGATATAGTCACAATTTTGTTATACAGTCAGAATTGCGTTATATAAAGTCGCAATTGTGTGATATAGTCACAATTGTGTGTTATATAATCAGAATTGCGTGATATAGTCACAATTGTGTGTTATATAATCAGAATTGCGTGATATAGTCACAATTGTGTTATATAGTCAGAATTACGTGATATAGTCACAATTGTGCTTTACATTTAGAATTGTGTTATATAGTCAGAATTACGAGATATATAGTCGCAATTGTAGCCTGGCTGCGCCCTCCTACGCACTTCCGCTCAATTTCATTTTACTTCAGTACTATGTGGAAATGAAATGAACTAAAGTCTGGTTGAACCAGGCTATCGCAATTGTGCTTTACATTTAGAATTGTGTTATATAGTCAGAATTACGTGATATATAGTAACAATTGCTAGTTATAAAGTCAGAATTGGAAGATGTAAACTCGCAGTTGTGACAAGAAAGTCACAATTATCTTTTAAAATGTTTTATTCTGTGGCGGAAACAAGCTTCCATATTAAATGAATCCGACATAAGTCATGAAAATATACAGATACATTGTCAATTATAAAATTAATAAGCAAAAGCACAATATTTAATTGCTTTGTGATAATTATATCACTGAAATTAATTCATTAATTATATTTTTGTGTTTTGATGATGTCATTAGCTTTGCTTCCATCCGCCTGTTTTAATGCACATTTTGGGATATCACATAAAAACCGCTGGATGGAAACGCAAACACCCATAATGCTGGTTTGTGTAATGTGTGTGTGTGTGTGTTGTGGATATGTTCAGGAAGTCTGCAGACGCTGAGGAAGCAGGGCAGTCTGTATGACACGGAGAACGAGAACACCACCTCCACATGGTAAAACACACGCCCGGGCGGTTCTGTGTGTGTGTGTGTGTTCATGCGCTGATGTGTGGTTTATGGATTCTGATTAAAGATGAATTTGTTTCTCTCAGGGAAGGAGAGATTATGACTCACAAAGAAAGTCCTGCCACCAAAAACCCTTTCCTTCAGGATCTGGACAATATAGATGTGAGTGTGTTAATGTGACTCAGCTGGGGTTTAAATGCATGTAATATCTGAGTGACACTTCTCTGTGTGTGTGTGTGTGTGTGTGTGTGTGTGTAGATGGGAGGTTTACCAGCAGATCCAGGTTTGACGTGTCCTTCCTCTGCGGTGGATCGCAGCTCAGGTGTGTGTCCTCTCGAAATGAAACCCTGTTCAAAGGCTTGGTTTATGTTTCGGCTCTTATTATGAATTTATGCATTTGGCAGATGCTTTTATCCAAAGTGAGCATATTATGATCACTTCAGTTTATGCTTTCCCTAGGAATCAAACCCATGATGCATGATTATTATCATTAGCTAAAACCATTAAAAAACATGTAATTTTTTTTTTAAAACAAATTCATTTGTTTTACTTAAAACAAAATAAATGCTTATTTAAAAAAAACAAAATGAAAAAAACTTATAAAAAAATAAAATTTTTCCTAAGGCAACATTTCTCATTTTAGTTTAGTTTAATTTGATGTACTAAAATAATTAAATACTAAATATAATTAATAAAAACTATATTGGCATATTTAATAAAAATTTAAATCTAATAAAAATGACAAAAACACAAAAAAATTACTAAAGCATTAACTACAATTATAGTGAAAACAGGAAATGTAAAAATAAAATACAATTCTTACTTGAAGTTCTAAAATAGCTTAAGCTAATACAATTAATAAAAACTAATTAGACATATTTAATATTTATGTCTTTAACTTGAAGTACTTAAATAAAAAGTAAAGTAACTAAAAAAAAAGTAAAAAGTAACTAAAACTCATAAATAAAATTAATAAAAACTACATTTAAAAGAAATTAAAATAACTAATAAAGAAAGAAAAACAAAATTTCTATTAACATTAATTAGAATTACAGTAAAAACAGAAAATGTAAAAATCAAATCAAATTCAGACTTGAAATACAAAAATCAATAAAAAACTTATTAGACATATTATTTAAAAAAAATAACAAACACAACAACATACTAAAACAAAAATTAGAGTGAAAACAGAAAATATAATAAAATCTAATTCAAAATATGAACATCATCTATAAACAAAAAAGAATGCTACTAAAAGAACTGGCTTTGTGTTTCTCTGCAGGAATGAAAAATTAATGCGTGTGTTATTTTTAAGGAAAGCGTTAAAATATAACAACCCCTTTCATCATCAATCCCTCTTATTTCTTATTTCTTTTATAAGTCTCATTCAATCCTTCATTTTCTGTTCCCATTCAATATCCCGCTTCGCCTAATCTCATCACAAAAGCAAAGGGGTGAAAATGTCCATGATTTGTTCTCGATTGCGCTAACACTCACTGTGTGTTGCAGGAGCGAGCGTTGCCATGGCGACGGTGAACAGCAGTCTGGAGCGCGTGCAGAAGTCCTATAGGCTGGAGGGGAGCGTGAGGGTGTGGTCGGACTTCCTGAGGATACACCTCCACCCGCGCACCGTCACCGTCATCAACCAGTACAACCATGACGGGTGAGTCCCTCACTGACGGACGCCATTTGTATGTTCGCTATTTAGCTTAGCATAATTAATTTAAATTAGCCTTATTGTTATTTTTTAATTTTCTGTAATGAATTATTCAATGATTCACTTACAAAGACTTAGCGTGTTTCATGATCCGAATTAATTCAATGACAAATGCCTTTATAACAGTCAGTTGTCGCCCCCTACTGGTGAAATGGTGTAATGATACAATCTTTATTTTAATCAGGTTTCTTTCAAAAGGCGATTCACTCTATGTTGATCACTACCGTAGACATCAGTGTTTATATCCCAACTATAAACACACTTCTGTGGTTATCTGGATGATTGTAAGACATGACAGCTGCTCTCTCTGGCTCAGATCTGAATCGCTGTCGTTTAGTGATTTGATCACGTGTCTGTTTGAATCGAGATCACAATCGTTTTCGGTTAATCGCGCAGTTCCTGAAGGCACGCTATAAATGAACAGTGACATAATTAAAATGTGTTATCGAAGACGCACTAAATTAATTAGCTACGGTCGATGATAAAACGTTTTGTTTGAATATTTTTGGATGGTGAAACTACTCTTAAATGATGTGTGTGTGTTTTCAGTGAATCTGAGCGTCTGCAAGCGTTCGGCCAGGGGGAGGCGCTCTTACAGGGCCCATTTCTGGAGGATCTGGAGGATCGACTGCACTTCTTCGTGGAGGAGTGTGACTATCTGCAGGTAACACACACACACACACACACACACAGATCCGCCTCTACAACACAACACACGGGGAATATCAGAAAACCTGTCAGCTCAAAATCAAAGGAAATGCGTTTAAATTTATGGTTCACTGCAGTTTTAAGGAGGAAATACTCAGCAATGCTGTCCACTTATCAACTTACACACGGTGTGTGTTAAAGCGGATTAAAAACACACACATAAACAACACTAAACGCTGGATTTCAGCACAGTGTGAGATCTATGAAGCCCCTGGCATTAAAACAAATATGAGATGTTTGGCCGGTTATTAATATTAGCCAAAGTGTCGGAAACGGGACTTTTATTTTGAAGTCGCTGAGAATGTAAACATTTTAAGAATCAAAAGTTTAATGAATACGCAAAGTTGTATGTACATAAAATACATATATTATGCATTTCAAGGGTATAAATGTAAATATCAGCGTCCCTCTGTCTCTGCTTCCTCCTGCTCAGGGTTTCCAGGTGTTGTGTGACCTTGCTGACGGCTTCTCAGGCTTGGGGTCAAAGGTCACAGAGTTGTTGCAGGACTCTTACGGAGGCCGTGGGATCCTCACCTGGGGCGTGGCACCTGTCAATCACCCAGACACGGTGAGAGCGTCATTCATCTTTAATACAAGCAGTTTTCCCACCATTCATCAGGATCCCCGTGTTGAACTGTGTGAACGTGTTTTGTGTCCGCCTGACAGAGCTCTGTACTGGACTTGTACCACATGATGAACTGTGCGTTGGGGACGCTGAACATGGCCAATCACAGCTCTTTCTTCTGCCCTTTGACCCTGAGAGGCGGACTGGGCAGACGTCCCCCGCCGCCCACTGCTTTCCCGCTGCTCAGCTGTGACGTAAGCCGCTTTCATTCGCGGGAAACTCATTCAGAGTTACAGCTAACTAAAACTAAACCCATAAAAACATTTTCTTTGCTTAAAATTAGAGATGCACAATATATCGGTATCAGCCGATATAAGTTAATATTTATGTTATCGTTATCGGGCCGAGAAGAAATGTTTGCCGAGGCTTTAAAGCCGATAGTTATTGTATGATTCGCTTCTGTTGAGACACAGATGCGCACTGTTCAAATCCCTTCAAAAAGGCAATATACAGTTTTAATATCGGCTACATGACATTATAATGAGAACATTATATCTGTGTGCTTTTGGACGTGGCTTTTAATGGTGAGAGTTTTGTTTTTGTAATCAGGCTCTCAAAAAATGTCAAAAAATTTGGATTTAGAATTATCGGCCAATATATCGGTTATCGGCTTTCAGATATGAAGAATTATCGGCCAATATATCGGTTATCGGCGAATTATCAGCCAATGTATCGGTTATCGGCATTCAAATATAAAGAATTATTGGCCAATATATCGGTTATGGGCTTTCAGATATAAAGAATTATCGGCCAATATATCGGTTATGGGCTTTCAGATATAAAGAATTATCGGCCAATATATCGGTTATCGGCTTTCAGATATAAAGAATTATCGGCCAATATATCGGTTATCGGCTTTCCGATTTGAAGAATTATCGGCCAATATATCGGTTATGGGCTTTCAGATATAAAGAATTATCGGCCAATATATCGGTTGTCGGCTTTCAGATATAAAGAATTATCGGCCAATATATCGGTTATCAGCTTTCCGATATGAAGAATTATCGGCCAATATATCGGTTATCGGCAAATTATCAGCCAATGTATCGGTTATCGGCATTCAAATATAAAGAATTATTGGCCAATATATCGGTTATGGGCTTTCAGATATAAAGAATTATCGGCCAATATATCGGTTATCGGCTTTCAGATATAAAGAATTATCGGCCAATATATCGGTTATCGGCTTTCAATTATAAAGAATTATCGGTGATCAGTATCGGCCCAGATTTTTATATCGTTGTATCCCTACTTAAATAAATGACAAAAATTTTTAAAAGCCATAAAATAATCCTTATTTAACACCATGATTGTCCGGATTAATGGCTCTCCAAAACCATTTTGGGCAGAAACCGATAAAAGCTCTATTGGCCCAAAAAAATGAGTAGGCGAAATTTCGATGCATCCCTAATAAAAACTAGACAATTTTTTACAAAAATGTATTAAAAAAAACGTTACTAAACATTAACTACAGTTAAAATCAAAGCGGAAAATGTTCAAATAAAATGAATTCCAAATATTAACACTGATCAGTGATGCTAAAACAACACTGATCTTTTCATTTATTCAGGATCTGATGTTTTTTATCTGTTCATTTATACAGTATCTTTTCTCTCTCTCTCCCCCCAGCCGGCGCTGTGGTTTCACTCCGGCTCAGTTCTGGCTCTGGCTCTGGACTGCATGACGGTGCCGTATCGGTTGGGACAGGGCAGTTCAGCGATGTGGCAGCTCTCGGACGCCCTGACCGCCTCGGGGAGGAAGGTGCGTGTTTAATACACACTCCTGTCAGTGTACAGGTCTCTACACACCAAAGATGAGAACTATAACAACACTGTTCATTTTTACTCGAAAGACATCTTTACTCTAATTTATCATTGAATCATTCACTCAAAAATGTTGTTTTGTGTAGTTGTGTGTCGTGCAGCGCCAGCTCCCTTTGACAAGCTGTTTCCAAATCCATGATTGCTTTGGGCTGGTATAGTTTGAAATGACGTCACAGAGGAGTATCGTGTTTTCCAGGTGGTTTCAGCGTACGGCTCTGTGCCGTTTCCCATGATGCACGGCAGCTGCCTCCCTGAGGCTCTGGATGCTTTTTCAGATGCTTTACCATGGAAACCGCTTTCAGCGTGTCCTGAGCTCGGCGACGGGCGCTGTTTCGGCCAATCGGTGACTCTGAGAGGTTTAGACGGGCAGCGGTTAGTCAGGTGAGAGGACCGACTATTTGTGTGCACTTATAAAAAAGGGTGGGGTTTAATTGATTGAGTATGATATTTTGATTTAACATTATTCTGTCAAAAATTGTTAATATATCCATGGACAAATTGTTCACAATAAAATCAATAACATGCATTTAGAAATTTTATTTCATACCAAGTTAAAACAGCAGTTATATTAATTTGTTAATGTAATTTCATTTAAATTCTGCTTCTTAAAATTACGTTTGTTACCTTTAAAATTTAGGAATTTAATTGTTATTAAAAATGCAATTTAATTAATTTTAAAATGCTGTACCCACCAAATGAAACGATTAATATTTCTGTCAATTGAAATAAGGCTGAAATAAAATTAAAGTATTTGATGAAAAACTAGAAATGTTGCCTTGGAAACCAAGTAAAATATGTTTAAGTATTAATTGGAAATAAATAAAAAACTAAAACTAAACTGAAAATAAATTAATCTTAATAGTGATATTAAAAAAATATCTCAAACTAATACAATAGCATAAAAAATAAAGTAAAAATGTAAATGAAAACTGAAAATATAAAGATAAAAGCTCATTCAAAATATCAATAACGGTATATATATATTATATTGTAAAACTATAGAAAGGTTTCATTAGTTAACATGAACAATGAATGAACAATAATTTCACAGCATTTATTAGTCATAATGCAAAATTTCTACATTTACTAATACATTTTTAAAACAGTGGTTAATACACTGCAAACAAATATGAACAAACTTTTAACAAAATGAATAAAAATATCGCACATGGTTCATGTTAACTATTGAGACCTTATTGTAAAATAACTCTTGCACATGAAAATGTATATGTATGTTTATATAATATGTAATAATATTGTAGTTGTGATGCTAACAGTGTTGTTGTCCGCAGTGCTGTCCTGCCGGGTGTGGAGCCGCCCAGTCCTCTGCACTACGAGCGCTCTGGAGAAGACGTGCTGGCGGCGTACGTCAGGTCCCGTTACCCATCATCCCCTCTGTGAGTGATCCACACACACTAACTGGACGGCTCTGAGCGGCTGTCATTGGTCTAATGTGTGTGTGTGTGTGTGTGTGCAGGGCGGTGCAGCTGCTGTCCAGTCCCAGTAAACTCACGCCTCCGTTCCCACAGATCTTCAGTCCGGCTCTGGGTCCGCAGGGCTTCCTCCAGAACCGGTCTGATCCGGCCGACAGTGAGTGCCGCCCCATAATCAAGATCAGGGTTTTAGGGCTTCAAAATCTTAGGGAATATTCACTCCCATTATAAAGTCAACTAGGATGAGTTGAGGGCGAGTAAATCATGGGATCATTTTTAATTTAAATTGTTGGGTGAACGATCCATTTAAAGGAGTAGTTCACTCGCCCCCGTGTCATCCAAGATGTCCATGTGTTTCTTTCTTCAGTCGAAAAGAAATTAAGGATTTTCATGAAAACATTCCAGGATTTTCTCCATATAATGGACTTCAATGGGGACCAAACGGTTCAAGGTCCAAAAGTTTCATAAGAATAAGAATATTGTTAAGAATATTCTTTTCATAAAAGAAAAAGACCCTTATTCATCGTCTGGTGTTGTTTAAAGCCCTTTGACCAGTTTGTAGTTTGCACTAAAACTCTCATTTGGACCTTGAACCGTTTGGACCCCATTGAAGTCCATTATATGGAGAAAATCCTGGAATATTTTCATCAAAAACCTTAATTTCTTTTTGACTGAAGAAAGAAAGACATGGACATCTTGGATGACATGTGGGTGAGTAAATTATTAGCAAAAGTTTTTTTAAAAGTGACCTCCTTTAAGGTCAGTATTTGTATGAACCCGTAACATCAGCCTCTCTCTCTCTCTCTCTCTCTCTCTCTGTCCTCCCCTGTTTATCTCCTCGTCTTCTCCCAGCTGGCTCTCAGCGGGTCTCTGGTGTCCCGGTGCTGACGAGTCTTCAGTCGGGTCCTGCCGTGGGTCTCCAGCTGTCCGAGCTGCATAAGGTGTGTTCAGCGCTGGACCTGCGGCGCGTGACCCCGAGCTTCCTCTCGCACGGGCCCGAGGTCAGCGAGCTCAGCGAGTCCCTGGAGCAGCTCCGCAACCTCGCGCTCTGCTACCGCCAGGACGGCTCCCGCTCTTCCTCCGATGAGGACGACGAGGACGACTGAGGGATGCTCTTCGTCGAGTCGCAGAACCGCATTCAGCTCTCGGGGAATCATGGGATATGAGCCCCGTCACCCTTCAGAACAGCACGAACATTTAGAAGACTGTGAGAAGTACGATTAATCGCATCCCAAATCAAAGTTTGTGTTTACATAATATATGTGTGTGCACGGAGTATAATTATTATTTTTTAAATATAAACACACACACATGCATGTATATATTTGAGTATGTATATACTGTATATATAAATGTATATATTATACATAAATAAGAAAATGTTCTTAAACATATACATGCATATATGTGTATTTATATATACAAAATAGTTATACACAGTACACACAGATATTACAGTATGTAAACACAAACTTTTATTTAGGATGCGGACGAGCGCTAGATGTAAACCTCATCAAACCTGATGTTTTTTTAGGGCTTAATTGTGTAAAAGTCCCAATGAAATAGTTATCCTTCTTATAAATGATCAAATATGACTGTTGTTTTACCCTTCAAGAAATTTAACGGTTATTATTCATGTGCATCCTCATCAAATACTTGTTTAATAAAACCATTTTATTTTGGTTGGCTAATGTTTTTGCTGTGTGATCTGGTTATTAAGAAAATATACACTTATAAAATTGAGACTCGTTTAATATATATATTTGTCAGAACAAGAACTCAGTCTCAAGCACTTTTTACAGTGTATCCCTCACAGCATTGTTTTCTTCCTCAGGCATCTGCTATGGCTGAAGTCTATTGTTAACATCAGTTGTCAACCCCAGAACCAGCTGTTGAGATCATTAACTACTCGATAGTTCTTGTTTCTCCTGATATGATCGCAAGAATAACAGGCGTGTTCAAGACCAAACGAGCCTCCTTTTGCAAAAAAATGTTCCCTCCAGGTGAAGTGTTGCCTGTACAAATTATCATTTTGGTCCAGAAGCTTAAGATGGTCTGCTAGTTCTTTGGGGGTCTTGAAGTCATCCACATGGATAAAGGCACTGGCTGGTATGAATTCCTCATAGTTCGCTCTGGGTGGGCCGATGACCACGGGAACTGTGCCGAGAGACAGAGGTCTGTACAGTTTTTCTGTAATGTAGTCTTTGTGGATCGAGTTCTCAAAGGACAGGTAGAATTTACAGCTGGACATTACATCTGTATAATCTTGATCACCAATACGCTTGTTGAAGTGATTTCCGTAGGTTTGTACACTAATGTGTTTTTCAAACTCTCCATAGAATTTTGACCGCCTAAAGTTTGGGTTCCAGTTACTTACAATCCAGCAAACAAGTTTATTCTTACGCGGGATTTCATAATCTTTCTTTCCACCAGTGTTCTCTAAGATTCGCCCGTAAGGGACCAGGATGTCTGAATCTAGTCTGTAACTTGACGTCAGATTAAACAGATTGTTTAGATTTGAATGCCGTGCTGTATGGGTGGGAGACTCCATGTTCATCCAGACCCATTTCTGGAATGGTGGTCGTGGCAGTTTCGGCATGTTGGATAAGTCCCCATGGATGTCTCTGTGATGAATTAAAACGCCATGTGCTTTGTTAAACTGACTCTTGTCGACTGTCAAGTGGCAGCCATGGATGTCGTACATTGAACTACAGAGGCCTAAATCAAACTGATGCCCAAAAGGCCACATCCAGACCAGGATAATGGTGTCTAGATCGTCTCCCTGCGATGAAGCTGCTTCTGTTTGTGTTAACTGGTGTTGGACAGAGGTGAAGTTCACCGAACAGTTGTCGTTCACTATTTGGATTTGATTTGGCCTGTTGATACTGATGTTTCCACAGTCATCATGTTTGGGAGCGACTGGACAGTTTAACCAATTTACTGACGGCTCATAGTACATGTAGAAGATTGCCGAGAAACCTGTTATCAAGACCACTGCGATGAAGACGTTCTTGCAGGATCTGGAGGAGTTTTGGGAATCCATCTTTGACCTTCTGTGGAGAGAGCATGAGGAAGGGCTGGTGTTTAAATATCTTTCCAGATTTGTTTCAGAAATGCTTTGATCAGCTACATATTTCTTATATCAGGAAGAATGTTCATAACCCATAAAATGGCACTGAAGGCACAGATATAACCCAGTTGGCAATCTATAAGGACCAAAGATTGGGAAATAAAACTATACGCTGTCATTTGTTTTTCACATCCTCACTAGGGGTATCACGATTCTCCAAATCCTCAATTCGATAAAACTTTAGATTCTTGGTTTTTATATATATATATATATATTTTAAAGCCCAAACCGGCCAATCAGGATGCACTCTGTCTGACATGCGGTTCATGAGGCACACACGCAAGAGCTGTGTCCCAATGTGAAGGGTGCGTCCTTCGAAGGCTGTAGACTTCGAAGGATGCAGCCTATTCGGCCTTCGAAGGACGCTTCATGTAGCCTTCGTGGGATTTCCTAATTGACCCTTCGCTAAGCCACGCCCGAAAACCGCCACTGGCCAATCATGTCTTAGCAACCTTAACTATGCGCGGGAGGTCTGGCAAGCTTTCAAACGAGGGAACATGCTGAAGCATTGTGCATATATGGATTGTGCAAATCTGATACCGGTATACTAAGTTTGGACCGGGGAGAGGAATTGTTTTCCTTCCAGAAAATCTCAAAGCCAAGGGGAGAAATGATTGGCGTGATCTAGCGTCTATGTGCGACCCATTCTGGTAAATGTCGACATGCTTAACAAAAACACCTATTGCTTGGAAATATTGACGGTTCTTTGGTCATAATGATATAACGTAAAATAAGACGATTAAAGAGACAAGACAAAGTCTCACGGACATACTTTAAAATATATTTCAGCATTTTGTTAATCGACGTCCTACTAACGTTACCCCTTAACTTAACCCAATCGCGGCTCTCCCGGTATTAGTGTTATTCCACAAGATTTATTGATTAGCTGTTTGATTTAGAATTATTACGATTATTTTCACATACCCTGCTGTGTATGAACATAGCTGTTCCTCAATTTGTGTTTCCCATTTGAACGGTCAGTGTATGAGGCGCTGCTGCTTGCGCTGGGACTATAACGTTAGGCTTTAACTTCAATTTTTAAGAAATTATTCTCTAATCGGTGGCATATAATGTCGTGAATATATCCCTCGAATGCATACTGTAGTCCCTTTTGTCTTGCTTTCTCAGATATTTCACTTGTTCGCCGAAAATTACTAATTATCTCATTGGGAATGTCTGACACCGGGTGCCACACTATAATAGATGGGCCAGCCGCGAAAGCTTGACAGGCGTAGCAACAGTAACTAGGGAGGGCGGGGCTTAGCGAAGGGTCAATTGCTCAACCAGGTGTTCCCTATTACTGCTCCTGGCGCCAAGCAACGGAGCGAGAGTACAGCTGCCACCCTGATCATTCATTTAATGAAACTGAGTAAACAGCTATAGGCTATTGTCATTTTGTTGTTTTATATTTTACTGGAAATTTTATGTTTTATATTTTCCTGTCTTTAAATGAGGGGCAATATATATAAAATCACATAATTTCAATTCACATAACCACTAAAAAATATTTCGAGTAGGCTATTTTCGGCTCAAGAGTTGGCCAGAGCTGGTTTAATGCTAGAGGCTGCGTCCTGAATAGTCAGATTACACTGTAAACTGTTCAAATATTGGATGTTAACCTACGTAAATATTGTAATGAAATAGCCTAAAAAATAATAATGATAGGCACATAGCCTATATTCAAATGTTAATCGTACCTTGATGCGATTTTGTAGGGTTTTCTTTTTATTGTCTAAATGGACCATGGTGAATATATTTATACAGGCGGTCAATCCTATTTGAATATTTTAAACCAGTTGGATATAAAAAAGTCCAGTGCAAACGTCGTTACTCCCGCTCGTCGTGGTCAGCTGTCAGTCACAGTTGCTAGGCGACAAGAACAATCATCCGCAGGCTAGACCGGTCCGAGCGCTTCAGGTGCGCACTTTGATATGAGACGAAGTTGAAGGTAGCAACAATTTGTTAATATTGTGACAATGGACTAGGGATGGGACGGTATGAAAATTTCATATCACGATTATAGTGTCCAAAATAATCGTGATTATCAATATTATCACGGTTTTGTTAAAAATTTATGAAAGTGGTCAAAAAGAACTGATGCTCACACTGAAAACATTTCAACAAGTTTTATAATTGAACAAATAAAACAAGCCTCTCTATGCAGTTTTTTAGGCAAGTTTCTATTCTATGGCATTTGCTTCTTTATAATGCCCGTCGTCAATAGCAACACATTATTACACAGCGCACATCCATATCACAACGGACGCACGCTCTTGTTTCATTCAAATACAACTTGCCGTCTTGCGTCTCCGGTTTTTGATTGTATTGCAAAAATGAAATCAGAGTTGATTTATTGTTTACATAGTTTGATAATATTGGTGTGATATATCTCGTCTGGACGATTGTTTTACAAAATGAATTCATAAACAGGTAAGATTTAACACATTAGCTAATCTCATTATCAATTCAATATGTCCCCGTAATTATGTGGTAAAAATAAAATCGGTTTAATACCTGATGTATCTATACTTTACTATCCCTTAAAATATCACTCTTAATAATAGTCTTGTTTGAAGTTGTTCGTTCGTCTTTGGCTCAAATCCATTTGCTACGAACTTTTCTTCGCGGACGCTTGACGTCTATTTCAAGTGAGTGACATAAAATGTTTCAACTCAAAACAACATTTCGTGCCCAATTGTTTCCCAGACGTAGTTTTGGTATTAAGGTCAAAGTTAACTTGCCTTGCGTTCGGGTGATGATCACACAAGACGACTCGGCAGATTTGAAGTGTTTCTATTGCAGTGACTTTTTGTTCGGCAGACAAGGTGACCATCCTCGATCAAGTTTCCCTCAGGACTTTTGTAAAACCCAAAATATGACCACACCTCAGATTTGGTCCTCTTAAAAGGCTGAAAAATCTCCTGAGCACGGTCACTGCCTTCCACCATTCCTTCTCGAATAGTAATTTAAAAAAAATATTGCGTGCGGCGCGCCTGCGTCAAACTGGCTGACAGGATTCAGTGAGTTATTAAAATCGCGATAATCAAACACGGTTTTAATGATAATTAAATTTTAAACGATAATACTAACCGTCAGTACATTTTATCACGGTTTATAGTTAAACCGGTTATCGTCCCATCCCTACAATGGACCAACAATTTTTTACTTTAATTTTTAAAATAACCAGTGGGAGTCTGGGAAAATGTAAGGAACTTCATACTGCGATAGTATTCATGTACAAATGTGAAGTAGCCTACTTTTTTCCCTCACAGGACAACACTACACATTTTACATTAAACGACACAAAAGTATATTATATTTTAAATGTATCAACCTTGCAAATACTCAGAGACCCTTACAAAAATAAACAAATGACCAGAGCCATGAATTCTCTTTTGTGTACACATTTAAAGTTGCATAAAATAATGAAATAATGAATAATTAAGAAATACAATGTACAAGAAATACAATACAAGGCTATAAAAGCCGTTTTCGCATTTCGACTTGACAAAACCATGCAATGCTGACGAATGAGTTAAGATGAATAAGATAGAAAAAAAA